TATTGTACATGAAAATAGAAAAAATAAGATTACATCGCAAAAATGTTAGTCACACGTCACACTTTATTGTTGGAGGTAAAAAGTGAATTAACAAAATTCAGGGAAAATAAATTCATTCAAAAGGACCAGGCAGCCGGCTTATGGAGAAATGGGTTCCGGTTAATATGCCTGAATTTTTGGTATGTTAAAGATATCGACTTCCTGAACAATAGTGTCCATGGGCACAACTCAATCCTATGGCCAGTTTTCAACATACAGAGGGATAAAGTTGAAAAATGGCCATTTTTTAAAACGTATTAAAATATATTAAGGATTTTTTGCTGTAATAGTTTTCTGATAACATCAAATAATATTACTTTGTGTAGAAAAAGTATTATTTGATACAGGGTGATTCAAAAATCACCAAAAAAAATATTGATGCTGTGTATTCTACTTTACAGTGGGAATATGAAAATATTAATATTTGGTCTGAATTAACTTTAGTTGGACTTATTATAAGAAGGTATGAAAAAATTTTATACAGGGTGAGTCAAAAAGTTGATCGACTCTGCAAGTTATTTTTAATACAATTTTATATATTTTGTAATTCAAGTCAGTAGTCGACATTGAATCATTTTCAAAAATATATAATTTATAAATTAAATACAGGGTGATTCAAAGGGTATATAAGGTAGAAAATTACGAAAATTGATTTTTTTCTGCGAATCACCCTGTAATTTAATATTTCCTCCGTTAATTTCTCTAATTTTTTCTTATTGTCTTTGATTTGAGTTTGTTAGTCCCCTATAGAAGTTTTGCGAAGTTACTATGATCATTTTTTTTATATCGACTTTGTGATGACAAGCCTGTCACAATGTATACGCTTATACCTGAGCTCATAAATATGTTTTTATTTTATTTAATCATTCAGAATTTATGTCATTCTAACGTTATTTGTTTAAGGAAATATAAATAATATGTAACCTATAAACAAACAATGTATTAATATTATTAGTAAGCCAGATAACCGAAGATGCAAATATTATTAGTGAGCCAAATATCCGAAGACGTAAATATTATTATGTTTTTTCATTAGACATAACCCCATCTTATTCATAACTAAACTAGTTGATGCTTGTCGAGAAGGATATTGAAATATAACTTTAAAAAATGATCTGATACACCATGTTTAATTTTTAGGAAAAAACTTGTCAAGTGTTTTCTTGTTATATTTCCATCTTGTTCAAAAAAATTGCAACAATTCGTTGAAATTATTTTTTGAATTCTTCGATATGGTTTAAATTCGTTTTCTGTAAAATTATCTACCTATAGCTTCACAGTTTAGATCGTGATTGTTATTACTATTAGCAGCTGTTCGAAGACTCTGGAGAAATTAAAGTAGATAATTTCTTACATATCGACGGTTAAGAGAACGTAACCCACCATGCATGCAATATGTTCAAAATAGTTCCGTCTTTATTAAGACAATGCTGTCACATTTGTACATAGTCAGGAACAACTAAGAAATAATAAATATCTACACTCAATAGAAAGCCTCCGAAAATTATCATTAGCGTTACATATCATGCGAGTATTGGATTTAGCTGGAGAAAGTACGTTAATTCTGAGACAATATCAAAGAATTCAAAAAATAATTTCAACGAATTGTTGCAATTTTTTTGAACAAGATGGAAATATATCAAGAAAATACTTGACAAGTTTTTTTCTAAAAATTAAACATGGTGTATCAGATCATTTTTTAAAGTTATATTTCAATATCCTTCTCGACAAGTATCAACTAGTTTAGTTATGAATAAGATGGGGTTATGTCTAATGAAAAAACAATAATATTTGCGTCTTCGGATATCTGGCTTACTAATAATATTAATACATTGTTTGTTTATAGGTTACATATTATTTATATTTCCTTAAACAAATAACGTTAGAAATGACATAAATCCTGAATGATTAAATAAAATAAAAACATATTTATGAGCTCAGGTATAAGCGTATACATTGTGACAGGCTTGTCATCACAAAGTCGATATAAAAAAACTGATCATAGTAACTTCGCAAAACTTCTATAGGGGACTAACAAACTCAAATCAAAGACAATAAGAAAAAATTAGAGAAATTAACGGAGGAAATATTAAATTACAGAAAAAAATCAATTTTCGTAATTTTCTACTTTATATACCCTTTGAATCACCCTGTATTTAATTCATAAATTATATATTTTTGAAAATGGTTCAATGTCGACTACTGACTTGTATTACAAAATATATAAAATTGTATTAAAAATAACTTGCAGAGTCGATCAACTTTTTGACTCACCCTGTATAAAATGTTTTCATACCTTCTTATAATAAGTCCAACTAAAGTTAATTCAGACCATATATTAATATTTTCATATTCCCACTGTAAAGTAGAATACACAGCATCAATATTTTTTTTGGTGATTTTTGAATCACCCTGTATCAAATAATACTTTTTCTACACAGAGCAATATTATTTGATGTTATCAGAATACTATTACAGCAAAAAATCCTTAATATATTGAGAAAATAACATTTTAATACGTTTTAAAAAATGGCCATTTTTCAACTTTATCCCTCTTTATGTTGAAAACTGGCCATAGGATTGAGTTGTGCCCATGGACACTATTGTTCAGGAAGTCGATATCTTTAACATACCAAAAATTCAGGCATATTAACCGGAACCCATTTCTCCATAAGCCGGCTGCCTGGTCCTTTACGGCAACACTGCAAGCACGTTACCCATTGCCGTGTGCGTAGAATTTATTTTTTTTTAGTTGTAATAATTATTTTATCATAAGTTTTACTTTATATCGTTGCTTTTGTTTGAGGTACCTATTAGTCTTTAATTTATTTAATTGACATTTTATTTACTTTTCTTGGGCACCTGTTTGTATCTGTTCCATTTATAGTTTTTTTTCATGTCTTCTCATTAGCTTTAGTTTATTATTTAAATTTTTTCTTTTATTTATATATTGTAGAATTGTAAGTATATTCTCTGTAATTGGGTGTAAATCCGTTGAAAATAAATTATTATTATTCTAGAACATTTGATTTTTCTAATATCCTGCTATAGAAATCAAAATATTTACCTGTAGCAGGAACGATTTGAAACACAGCCACTAAAACGACCAAAAAAAGAAAAACAATATTTTTCTCCATAACAATCATACCAGTATTGGTTTAATACATTTTAAGCAAATGATTTCAATTTTTAATAATGTAGGTAACTTCGCTATAAGTTGTTTGAAAAAAAAAATAAATACCAGAATATTAAATAAGGTTAAATTATTGAATATTATTAGTTATGGAATGCGTTCATTGTAAAGTTGCCTTTTGCGTAAATTATTTAAATGTTTAACCAATTTATATTTTTTCGTTTTTAAATCGCGTCATATTAAAACGTGGGGTTTAGTAAAAGTCGATTTATTTTATTTGAAATATGGTGTATGGTATATAATTAACAATTTTGTTTATAAATATTTTAAAGGATAATATACCAAGACCTTGATAATAGTCAGCTATTTTTGTTGAATCTAAATCTCGAGAATATTTAATATCAATTTGATGAGACATCATTTTGTCGTTAATAATCTGATTAGAGCTCGAGAGCTTTAATCAATTGATTATTCATGCCAAAATTATGTAGAATCAAATTGTAAAATGTACGAGACATTTAGCAACAACAAAAATAGCAGAATATTAATCAAGGTCGTGTTATATTTGGGACGACTTTTCTTTAAAGAAATAATCGCCGATATTTGGTCTAGGGAGATAATCACTAAAATTACACAATTGTATACCAATTGCACATAACATTCCTCTTTAAAACAGTTCTGAAAAAATAAAACAACGCAACGGCCGACGAGCTACCCATACCTTATACCAATTGACCGGAAATCAAAATCGTTCCTATTAAAAAAGATACTTTAATATTAATTCAAAGGTAACATATAATATATAGATTACAAATCCAGTTAGTTTGTTGAGTCAATGGTTCAATAATTCAAAATATAGGGTGTTGCTAAATGCCATGTCAATATTGAAGGAGGTAATTTTCTGGTCTAATTTACTAGATAGGATCACAAATATACATAATTTCTACTCAAAGCTGTACGGTGTTAGACGGTGTAGGTTCTGCTAACATCAAAACATTTAGGATTCCTCAAATGTATAACGAGTAACATATAAAAATATTTCCTAAATACCAAAAATGGTGATATGATATTTATTTGTATAAACTTTTATGGTTATTTTTTTATGGAGTGATACGTTTCTGTATTTTTTTTTTATAGTTGAAACGTTTCATATCAATTCTAGCTAACTCATTTATCCTTTAACCGGTCTAAACCTATTTTTAATTATACTAAATCTGAATAATTTAAATCACATTACATTAAAATTATCAAGTGCAGTTCCGAAGAGCATTTTTTAACAAAAAATCAATTTAGAGTAAATGTTTATATAAAATGAAGAAATTACCTCCTTCAATATTAACATGATATTTAGAGACACCCTATATACACAAAACCATAAAATCTTCTTCAGATAATAACATTTTTTATCTTTTACACCAAATATTTTACTACATAATATTCAAACAAACAGAACCATCGATTCCACGTTTCTAATTTATATACACATTAAATATATTATGGCGCTAAGTATATATTCGAGAAAATATAATAATTTATATTACTAATTTCACTGGCACAATTAATGAGATTACTTATAGATACGCAAAAAATCCATTAAATCCATCGAAACTAAGACGTCAAAACAAAAGAATTCAAAATGGGGAGAGCGTTAAAAAAAAGGAAACATTTAATTCAAGAAGGAAAAATATCAAATAAATTACAAAAAGAAGGCAAGTTGATATATTTGAGTAACACAATTTAATTTCAAAAATGAAATCACCCTGGCAAAGGAAAGAGATAACTGTATGGCAACGATCGGTCCAGTCTTTAACAAAATGAAAAAAAATATTTATTTCTCCCACAAACAATAATCGTCTTTGGTAGCAGCCACGTACTCGTCAACCAAATCTTGGACGACCTCTCTGCTAGAATCCAACTCGTCCAAATTATCCTTGAACATATCCTCCTTTCTGAATTGATCCAAAAATGCCTCGCGCTTTCTCAATTTGTCGTACTGAATCAAAGCCCTATCGAATAGCTGCAAAATTTAAAACATTTTATCAATAAAAATTACAAAAAACGCTAAATTCGGGACATGACATTTATATGGATGTTATCAAATACTTACCGAACTAATATTGGTATGATTGGCCAACATGAGCCCAGAAACCCTATGCGCCGACTGTATATAGGGCGATTTGCGAGACAGAGCCACTTGGATGCTAGCCGGACCCCAAGGGATAAATTGGGCCAACTTCCTCTCTCTGATCCTTTGCAAGGATTTGTGCACTTGAGTGGGATCGACCTCGCCCTGTAATTCATCAATTTTAATACCGATTCTCACGAACGCGAGTAAGGATTACATTTTGTTTATTTTTTCTGACTTTATACTCGGAAAAATTAATTTGTCCTACTTAAAACTATGAAAAATAGATGGTTCTAAGTCGGAATAATCTACTCTTCTGAGTTCAAAGTCGGGAAAATCAATTCCAGAATAATCAATTTTTTTCGAGTTTTAAGTCAGAAAAATCGATCTTTTCCAGTTCTAAGTCGAAATAATTTATGTTTCCGAGTTATAAAGTCAAAAATATCGATTTTGTCGAATTCTAAACAGGAATAATCAGTTTTTGTCGAGTTCTAAGTCAGAAAAACCGATTTTTCGAGTTTTAAATCGGAATAATCTATTTTTCTAAGTCATAAAAATTGATTTTTTGGATTTCTAAGTTGGAAATAAATAGTTTTCCCGAGTTCTAATAAGAAAAATCGATTTTTTTCAAATTCTAAGTCGGAATAATCTGTTTTTCTAAGTTCTAAGTCTAAATAATCCGTGTTTTTTTAATTTCCAGTCAAAAAATTCATTTTGTCCGGGTTCCAAATCAGAAAAATTAATTATTTCGAGTTCTAAGTTGGAATAATCAATTTTTTCGAGTTCTAAGTTAGAATAATCGATTTTTTTCAAATTCTAAATCGGAATGATCTGTTTTTCTCGAGTTCTAAGTCTAAATTATCCGTTTTTTTCGCATTTTAAGTCGGAAAACCCTTTTTTTCCAATTCTAAGTCAGAAAAATCGAGATCTAAGTGGGATTTAATAATCTGCCCGAGTTCTAAATCAAAAAAATCGATTTTTTTAAATTTTAAGTCTTAATAATCTGTTTTTCTGAGTTCTAAGTCTAAATAATCTGTTATTTTCAAATTTCAAGTCGGAAAAATCCATTTTGGCAGGGTTCTAAATCAGAAAAATTGATTCTTTCGAGTTATAAGTCTGAATAATCTATTTTTTCGAGTTCTAAGTTAGAAAAATCGATTTTTTCAAATTCTAAGGCAAAATAATTTGTTTTCCCGAGTTCTGAGTCTAAATAATCAGTTTTTTCGAATTTAAAGTCGGACAAATCAATTTTTTCTAGTTCCAAGTCAGAAAAATCGACTTTTTTCAAATTCCAAATCGTAATAATCTGCTTGTCCGAGTTCTAAGTCTAAATAATCCGATTTTTCGAGTTCTAAGTCGGAATAAATAACCTTTCCGAGTTCTAAATCAGAAAAATCGATTTTTTTAAATTCTAAGTCCTAATAATCTCTTTTTCTGAGTTTTAAGTCTAAATATTTTGTTATTTTCAAATTTCAAGTCGGAAAAATCCATTTTGTCTGTGTTCTAAATCAGAAAAATTGATTCTTTCGAGTTCTAAGTCGGAATAATCTATTTTTTCGAGTTCTAAGTTAGAAAAATCGATTTGTTTCAAATTCTAAGTCGGAATAATCTGTTTTTTTCCGAGTTTCAAGTCTAAATAATCAGTTTTTTTCGAATTTTAAGTCGGAAAATCCATTTTTCTAGTTCCAAGTCAGAAAAATCCATTTTTTTCAAATTCCAAATCGTAATAATCTCTTTTTCTGAGTTCTAAGTCTAAATATTGTTATTTTCAAATTTCAAGTCGGAAAAATCTATTTTTTCGAGTTCTAAGTCAGAAAAAATAATTGATTCTTTTGGGTTCTAAGTCGGAATAATCTATTTTTTCGAGTTCTAAATCAGAATAATCGATTTTTTTCAAATTCTAAATCGAAATACTCTGTTTTTCCCAAGTAAATGTAAATAATTAATTTTTTTTCGAATTTTAAGTTGGAAAAATCCAATTTGTTCTAGTTCTAAGTGGTAATAATATATTTTTATGAGTTCTTAGATGGAAAATTCTATTTTTCCATGATCTAGAAAAAAATGTGTCCCTTCAACTTTTCCGTAGTTTCTTCAAGTAAATTAAGAATAAAAAGCAATAGAACAGTCTTAATTTCTTAATTTATCCAATACTACATCACCGATGTTCTTCTCACCTGGATGATGTTGAGGATGGAAATGAAGCAATGTTGCGAGCTCCTGTCTTGCGCAGTAGACACCATCATGTTTTTGGGTTGTAATAATCTTCGCATGACGTCTAAGACCGTGGTTTTTCTTACACTGGCTTCATCGGTATCTGTAGATAGGGGAGTATAACCAGTCATCAAGAAATGTAACCTGGGAGTGGGAATGAGAGGACCCAGTAACTCCATTAGATCATTGTTCATGTAGGATGGGTACCTTTTGGAAAAAAAAATACAAGTGCATTTTGTGTCAGTTATTTAAAATAGACAATAGGAAAATGTCAGAAATGTGTAACAGAGTTGCTATAAAAAAAAATGTATTTAACCATGAAATTTATGCACGTAAAATGTTAAAAATACATAATTGTTGATTTAACATTATATTATACTTAACATTATTTGCCTCTGAGGTAAATTACAAAGCTTAAATTGTAGGTACGCTATTTGAATGTTTTTTTAGAGAATTACTTCATTATAATAATGTATCGCTTCCCTGGTGAAACAATAATCAAAGTGAAAATATTTATTTTTTTTATTTAAAAAAATGCTTATTTTAAAACAATAATTAGCCACTCACCTCAAAGTCGTTGTAGAAACGGACATTATCGTACTGACCAAGCTGTTGATCTGAGTAAAAGTGGGATTCTGAATTTTCAAGCGATCAGCAGCGATCCTATTCAAAGCTGTATTATCCAAAACCACTACAGAATCAGCAGATTCCGTCAATCTCTTTAAAGTCAGCAATGAATTGTAAGGCTGCACAACCACATCACTACAAACGATACCATTAATAAAAATACATTTATATTTTTGTTAGAAACCAACCTGATTTCATCCAAATTGGGGAACACACTGTATGTTTGAACCAACTTTTTTGGGAACCTGTCTGACAATTTTTCGAGTATATTCGAGCCCATTCCTGATCCAGTTCCACCAGCAATGGAATGGCATAATACAAAACCTTCTAAACTGTCAGAACCTTCAGCTTCTCTATCGATAATATCAAAAATTTCCTCACTGAGCTTCTCTCCTTGCGAAAAACCGGAAGCCCAGTTGTTACCTATAATTAAAGAATAGTAGACAACTAATTAGATTAATGTGGGATTGGTACTTACCTGCACCGCCACCGTTTTTCGATAAAAACACATTCTCTTGGTTATACAACTTCGAATAAGGCGAATTTAGTATAGTATTAATCACCCTGGGTTCTAAATCTAGTAATACGGCCCTGGGTATGTAGTGCTCGTCGTCAGCCTGGTAGAAAAACACATCTTTACGGTCTATACCTGAAAAAAAAACGAATCAAATATACTTACAACGACTTTTAAACCATTTAAAGATTACTTTCTGTAGCATAATCTTCTAGAATTCCTTCTGGATTTATTCCATGTTCGGCACATAATCGCTTCCAGAACTCAAAACCGACTGCAAATTAAATTCGATCAAAAATAATAATAATATTAACCTCAAATTATCGTTAATATTCTTACTTTGATTGCCGCATTGGCCGAGTTGGAGGGTTATCATTTCACAAGGCATGGTTGCAATGCAAATTTTTCTTTACTATATAATACAAATTGCTCTTTTTACATGCATCAGTGCATAAATAATTAGTTTAAATGTTTTATTGATTTGGGATGACAGTTGTTTCAATTAAATGTCAACTGAAATTTTAAAATGACCAACAAAATCCTGTTATTGGTCAAAATTTCTGCTGTTCTAGTAGTTTTATGGGGCGAGCGCCGAACTGATACGAAGCTATACGAAATGGGTAAGCGTTGCCAAATTGTAACGAAAATTAAAGAAAAAGTGATATTTGCGAGAGTGCAAAAATTTTGAGTGTATGATTTACACTATTTTCTAACGCATTTCTCAGTTCTCTTTATTTTTTTGCCATCTTGTATCAATTATTTAATAAACGAAAGAATGAAATCCAAAATCGATACCACATAATATATATATATTTATTGATCTATCAGTCACAGATAAGTTAAGGTGAGGCTTTAATTCGGTCTCGGTGATTAAGATGGAACAGTTAGTTGGCAAAACGGAGATGGGTTGACTCAGTCGTTACAGTCTAGACCTTTAGATCTGGGTGTCGCAGCGTTCAAATCCTATAGCATCCGATTTTTTTTTTTTTTTAGAAAATAGAACCTTAAAGCGCTGACTACGGGAGAGCAGGAGAATTTGAAAATCAATAATAACATTTGGCAACATTGCCTATTTATCACAGTTGTGTAAGCTCCTAACAGTTCACCACCTAGAGTTCATTGTAATTTGGCCTCTTTCAAAGTAACATATGAGATATTATATTTTAAATAAAATTAATAACGCTACAAATAATTTAAATAAGTTAAAAATTAAATAAAATTAAAACAAGTTACTTTTGTATGGGCTAGAATTTGGGAAATACTTATAAATATGCCGGTTTTAAAAGTATTAAAGTATAAATAGAAAGAGATAAATGAATAGCAGTCTAATTTACCAGATAAAGATGAACGATACGCAAAATATTTGAATGAAAGGATTTGAAAGGGAATTAAATGTATCTGGGGTAACAGAACTACTGTTTTGTCAATAAAAGACATTGAATAAATAATAAAATGTCTGTAATCACAGATATTACTCCTAAAATTGATGAAAAACCTCGAAAATATGGAAACGCGGTACTGGACGAGCTATGCAGAGGCCCCAGGTAATTTTATTTTTAAAATTTATGACTATTTGATTTCAAAAAATTCTTTTCTAGAATGACCAAAGAGTTCATAAAACAACATTGCAAACAGCACAAATTATACCAAACGCCTTACTTGAATGACGTTTTATATCTTCATTTCAAAGGATTTTCTTATATAGAAAATCTAGAAGAATATACAGGACTGAAATGTCTATGGTTGGAAAATAACGGCTTGAAAGAAATAAGCGGTTTGAACAATCAAAAAGAACTCAGAAGTCTGTTTCTGCATTATAACCTCATCAAGAAAATCGAAAATTTGGAATATTGTCCCATTTTGGATACGCTCAACATATCTTACAATCAAGTTCAGAAAATTGAAAATTTGAGTAAGTTAAATTGTTTGAATTATAGATAAACAAAAAAAAAGCTCGAGTAATATTCAAACGCCAAAAAATTTGACGGAAGTACGGAAAAAGACGGAATTGACATTGACACTCTTGACAGCTGACAACCATCAAAATATTTATTATTTTTGTTTATACGAGGATAACTCCATAAATTTTGGGACATGATATTAATAAATAATAAAATTTTAAATCAACGACGAACAACTATTAGACCAATTTTGTTTACAAAAATCGAAATGCCAGCATTCATTGTTTTATTCACGTAGTTGCCAAATTATTATAAAAAAGTCTTTGTCAAAGATTGTTTATGATTATGGTTATAATTCGGTATATTGACTAAACATAAGGCTCTAAAGCGCATAAAAGGCTTTCAAAATTACATTTAGAAAGTATATTGTATTCTTAATGTCAGTTATTATCAGTTTAATGTATTTCTGGTGGCAACTATTATTGTAGCTGAAGGCGATTTACAGGAATGTACAGTATTCATTTTACAGTGTGGCAAAGATGTAAAGCAGGTCCATTCATAAAACGCGTGTTTGCACCTCGGATAAACAAACTCGCACAGATAATCCCCACTCAATTTAGTAGCCGTCTCGCTATTTTTAATGCAGCAGCCGATGCGACAGCTCTGTTTTTATTATTACGAATGAATGGATTAGTAGTTTTTCATCAAACAGTCAAATTAAGTGAATACTAGGATATTCCAATACTTTATTTATATTAAAAATGAATCTTTATTCATTTTGTTATGTAAGATGGCGCGTGTATAAAGTTCATTATTTATTCTTAATAGTGTATATATTCAACTCTCTATACAGTCTAAGTTAAAATAAATAAATTATGCACAGTTTCTCTACGTCCAACCCTTGGCAAATCTGGGAAAGCGTCTTGCACGGAGACTACATCGTTTATATCCCTCAGCCCAACATCATTTTTCCTTAAAATCTTGAAGAAATTGATCAAGATTTTGCGGGATTACCTCGAAATCAGCTTGCCTACCAATCTGGAAAGTCTGGGGTTGCGTCCACACATAGGCTAGCTCAAAAAGTTAAACAAGCATTGGAAATTTAAGAAACAGCACTAGGAGTATTCCTAGACATAAGGAGCCTTTGATTCGGCTTTGTACAATTCAATACTGGAATATAGGCATAGGTAGTGGATTGGGCTCATAATGCTTAATTTTAGAACCATCTTCAATATAACAAAAGAGATCTCAGTTAGCAAGAGATGTCCGCAGGGAGGAGTTTTATCTCTACTCATGTAGACCTCTTATGGGAGTTAGAGAGAGAAAACCTCTTGGCAACACCTTCAACAGCTACCGGCAAGCGAAAATAAATTCAGATTCAATTATAAACTCAAAATGAACAAACAAAAACAGAAAATAGTAGTCCTTTTACCTGTTGCTATAAAAGTTTTATATTGTAATGCCGGTATAGGTACTTACTTGTACTTGTAAAATGTAACAGGTATACGAGTATATTCGAAGTATACTCAAACCGAGTCTAAATATATTGTAAATACGAGTATTTTGCACAGTGTACAGTGTTTTTGTACTTTGCTTCTGTTAAAGTGAATAGTAAATAGTGATTGCGTGTGCAGGAGAGGAAACGATGCGGTGTTGATATTTTTAAAGCATGTTTGAGAGTTATTTATTATTCACTTTAACACCAAAGCAGATCAGAATGTTTGATCTTGCCCAGACTGCATATTATGACACAGTATCTCAAAATTTCTAGAATGCGTTGACCAATCTTCTATTTATTCGCAGGTTGTATAAAACCTTTACACACTCTGAACATGGCTCACAATTTCGTGGAAAAACTGGAGGACTTCGAACATTTGACCGAATTATTGGAGCTGTCCGTGTTAGATTTGTCCAACAATCATATAGACGATGTCTTGATCGTTGAAGTCCTGGCTAGGATGCCGGGTTTGAGGGTCCTCAACCTAATGGGCAATCCAGTGATCAGAAAAGTACCGGCTTATCGAAAAACTTTGATCCTTGCATGCGTGAGTGGTTTTTTTAATTGTATACCAGAATTTTACATCTGTAGATGTTCTGTGTTCCTTTTAGTCGTCCTTAACGGTTATGTTCTTCTAGTTTAGTTTTCTAAATTACTCATATTATTGGTAAAAGAAGAATTTTTGTTTTCCAGAAAAACTTGCAATATTTGGACGACCGTCCCGTGTTCCCAAGAGATAGAGCGTGCGCAGAAGCGTGGTAAATTAAATTTCTTATATTCATTTCCGTTATTTTTGAACAGTATTATCTTTCTCTTTTCTTTTAAGGGAAAGAGGCGGAGTTACCGAGGAAGCAGCTGAACGACAACGTTGGATCAATGCCGAGCAACAACGTATCATGGACAGTGTCAACGGTAACTCTTACGAAATACTATTCCGCAAAATTAAATCATTGGTCCTACTCTTTCTATACTAAATATTATTGTCAACAGCCAAATTTATCCTTTATGCTGATGGTTCTTCATCAAAACAAATTCTCAAGCTCTTCTTCCTATTTCGCAGCTCTTATCAGTCTTCGAGACCGCCACATAGAAGAAAGAAGACGTCAGCAGCAACAATGCGACAGCGGGCATGGTACATCGGTCGGAGATTCTGAGAGCGAGGCTGAAAGCTTGCACGAGATGATTCAGATCAATAGAAGACATAGAAGGGAAGCTGAAGCTCCGTCGGAAGAACACCGAGAAGAAGAAAATACGCAAGAAGAACGTCAAGAAGTTGAGGAAAATGTCGACGAATTGGAACCGAGTACTAGCGAGGCAAATATTCAAGAAGCCAGACCGAGATCTAGAAGTAGAAGCGACGAATCTTCCGAAGAAAGCGAAGACGATGATTCTGCTTCTACGTCTTCCGATGAAGAAGATAATTTCATGAAAGACAGGCAATTAGCCAACCCGAGAGAGTACGAAAACTACAGAGAGAGGATCTTCGATTTCAGTACTAAAAGTAAGAGTATTGCTTCTTATTTTCTTTTAAGAACACTTTATTCCCAATTCTCAATCATTTTCAGCGTTTAAGAGCCGATATTTGGTGGAAGAATACGACGGCCCTCTAATCAAACCAAGCACAAGCGGCATCGAACCAACAGAACCTGAAACTACAAACAAATCAACTGAAGAAGAATCCGCATTGACCGAAACAACTAATTCTGATGAACAAACTTCGCTGCAAACGGAAGGCGACAAACAAGATACTGGATTCAAAAAAATGGTCGGCGCTATGGCTAAAATGGTTGGTATAGATTACGAAGAATCGAAACCAACTGAAGATATACCTTCATCTGCGGATATTAAAGACGATTTCGTTATGATAGAAAATGCAGAAGAAATAAATAATGAAGAAACCGACAATACATACACAAACATTGGAGAAAAAGCCACACAACACTCTATCAAACTAGTAACGCACAATTTATCATCACAAACCGCGATCACTTTCGACGAACTCATAAACCATCACGAAGAATCCAAGAAGAAAGAAAAAATCAAAAAAGATGAAGAAGAACAAGAAGAAATTACTTCAATTTCAACGAGTAACAGAGTCGGTCCCAATATGCATTTGGCGACAATGTTGCTTGAAGAAATCCGTCAAGAAGCCGGCGATTCAGATGATGACACCGATGAAGAAGAAACAGATGAAATAGACGAAGAAAGAGAACGATCTATTCAAAAGGTTGTCGAAGAATATAAGGCCAAGCAATCATTGAAATTAACTGAAGACATTGAAAGTAGTAAAGATGTTAAAGAATATCAAAAGGATTATGAAGAAAATGAAGACGAAAAACCTTCGAACTTAAGTGAAAATCTTAATTTAGAACAACCGAAAGATTATGAAGAAAATAAAGACGAACGACCTTTGAAATTAAATGAAGATCTCAATTTAGAAGAACTAAAAGATTATGTAGAAAATGAAGCTAAACAATCTTTTAATCTAACTGATTATCTTAATCTAGAAAAACCAAAGCATACTGAAGAACACAAAGACAAACAAGCTCTGAACGTAATTGAAGATAATAATCATGAAGAAGACACTGAAATGAATGAAGGTGTTAAAGAAGAACGAGAAGATTATGAAACAAGTGACGAAGAAATTGCTGCCAATGATGTTAAAATTCATCAAATTAGTGTTGGAAACGTTGAAGAAGGATCCAAAGAAAAATCTGACTACGATATAAGAGAAGAACAGTTGCAATTAGTGAGGAACTTAATGGAAAAGAGTAAAAATCGGTTAAGTCCACCAACAGAAAATACAGAAATTGTAAATAACAAAGAACAAATATCCGAGGAATCAGAACATCTTCAATATGTGTCTCTAGTCAATTCCAAGGCAACTGAAGATATAGAAAAACTTGATAAAACTAATATTAACGAAATAAATGAAGCCAAAAATGAAAATACTCTCTTGGAAAATACGGAAAATGTAGTAAAACAAGATCATATACCAGATAAAAATTATGACGTCGTAAAAGAACGAAATAATGAAAATATTGTCTTTAGAGATGAAGATAAAGGTGACAAATTAATTGAAAATAGAAAACAATTTGTAAATGAAATTGGAGAGGCTAAAGATGCAACTGAAGATCTTGCAGTAACTGAAGACGCAAAACAAGTGGTAGAGTCAGAAAAAGAGGCTAAAATGGAACCACATACAGATTATATAGTAATTGAAGACACAAAACAAGTTGTAGAGTCGAATGGAGAGCTTAAAATGACTCATAAAGATCATGCAGTAATTGAAGACGCAAAAATAGTTGTAGAATCAGTTGAAGAGGCTAAAATAACAGTGACTGAAGAAACAAAAGAAGTTATAGAATCAGATGGAGAGGATAAAATGGTTCATAAAGATCGAGCATTAATAATTGAAGACGCAAAACAAGTTAAAGAGTCAGATATAGCACATACAGGTCCCGCAGTAACTGAAGATATCGAAAATATAGATCAAACAGCTGAGCCGCCTGAAACTAAGGAAAGTGATTACGATCAAATCGTAGTCGACGACGAAGATGGCGACTTGCACTACCAAGACGCTTTAGACACTTTGGACGATGACGGTTCATCGAAGGCTGCCTTGTCAAGTGACAACGACCGTGCCACGTTGACAGATGATAGGAAATTTGAACAAACCGCTGGCAATAATATTATGACGAAGTCTAAATTAAAAACGAGCGATGGAGATGTTTTGGATCCGATACCATCGACCAGTAAGGTCAGCAACTTGAGCAGAGCTGAAATCCAGGAGATTTTGAGGACCGAAATCGCCAAGCTGACGAAAGACGCTTCTATTCAAGATATTATAGGAGAGAATGTGAAAGTTAAGAAGGTAAGTTGTTTTGAATTCGGGTTTGGATTAATTGATGAGTTATGGACGCTCCTCAGCAATTGTAGTTAGTAGTCTTCTTTTTTCCAAATCCACACAAATTCTTAAGGTATTATTTCTTGTAATGCTGTGTAGATAATCCTTAAAGCTCTTACAGTGTTCCTACTTCTTATATACCAACCTTTGAGAACATTGTTAGTTCTTGTAAAACTATCTGCAGAGTTGCCAGTAACATCTTAGTGAATTCTTCTACCTTGTAAATCATCTGCAACTTCCAACATCATTCCTACTTCTTGTAATCTATCTCCAGAGTCACCTACAGGTGTAAATAATTTGAAAATATTCCTTATTCTTACTAAATCGTTCTAAAACAACTACAAAGTCATCTTTGACCTCTTAGAGCTTTCATATTTCTTGTATAACAACTACAGAGTCGCTTTCAACCTCTTAAAGTATTATTTCTTGTAAACGAAGTGCAGATTATCAATAAACCTCTTAGTATTTCCACTTCTTGTATACCATCTCCATATTGTAATTTTTAACCTTTGAGAACATTCTTAGTTCTTGTAAAACCATCTACAGAGTCAACTGCAATATCTTATGGAAATCTTCTATCTTGTAAATTATCTACAACTTCCACCATCATTCCTACTTTTTATAAACTATCACCTACAGGTGTAAATCATTTAAAAATATTCCTTATTCTTGCTATATCGTTCTAAAACAACTCCAAAGTCATATTCGAGCTCTTAAAGCATTCCTACTTCTTGTACATCAATTACAGAGTTGCCTTATGTTCCTACTTCTTGTGTCTATACCATCTCCAGAGTCACTTTCAAACTATTCTTAGTTCTTATAAAACTGCGGCCAGATTCACCAGCAATATCTTAGGCTATTCTTTTATTTTGTAAATCATCTGCAACTTCCAACACAGTTCCTACTTCTTGTAAACCATCTCTACACTCACCTGTAACCTTTCAGGAATGTCTTATTTCTGCAAATCATCTGAACATCATACTCCTTACTCTTACAACATCGTTTGTATTTGTTAAACAATTTTAAAGTAATCTTTCACCTGTTAGGACATTCTTATGTCTTCTTCAAAGTCTCTTTCAATCTATTATTATAAACCATTAACAAATTCTTAAACTTTTAACATCTTCAAAGTAATCTTCAACCTCTTGAGGCACTATTCCTTCTTGTTAAACCTTTTACAGAGTTCTAAAGATTATTATAGATTTTTATGAATTTTTATGGATTTTTATAGATTTTTATGAATTTTTAGGGACTTTTAAGGATTTATATAGATTTTTATAGATTTTTATCGATTTTTTATAGATTTTTATAGATTTTTATAGATTTTTATAGATTTTTTATAGATTGTTATAGATTTTATAGATTTTTATAGATTTTTATAGATTTTTATAGATTTTTATAGATTTTTATAGATTTTTATAGATTTTTATAGATTTTTATAGATTTTTATAGATTTTTATAGATTTTTATAGATTTTTATAGATTTTTATAGATTTTTATAGATTTTTATAGATTTTTATAGATTTTTATAGATTTTTATAGATTTTTATAGATTTTTATAGATTTTTATAGATTTTTATAGATTTTTATAGATTTTTATAGATTTTTATAGATTTTTATAGATTTTTATAGATTTTTATAGATTTTTATAGATTTTTATAGATTTTTATAGATTTTTATAGATTTTTATAGATTTTTATAGATTTTTATAGATTTTTATAGATTTTTATAGATTTTTATAGATTTTTATAGATTTTTATAGATTTTTATAGATTTTTATAGATTTTTATAGATTTTTATAGATTTTTATAGATTTTTATAGATTTTTATAGATTTTTATAGATTTTTATAGATTTTTATAGATTTTTATAGATTTTTATAGATTTTTATAGATTTTTATAGATTTTTATAGATTTTTATAGATTTTTATAGATTTTTATAGATTTTTATAGATTTTTATAGATTTTTATAGATTTTTATAGATTTTTATAGATTTTTATAGATTTTTATAGATTTTTATAGATTTTTATAGATTTTTATAGATTTTTATAGATTTTTATAGATTTTTATAGATTTTTATAGATTTTTATAGATTTTTATAGATTTTTATAGATTTTTATAGATTTTTATAGATTTTTATAGATTTTTATAGATTTTTATAGATTTTTATAGATTTTTATAGATTTTTATAGATTTTTATAGATTTTTATAGATTTTTATAGATTTTTATAGATTTTTATAGATTTTTATAGATTTTTATAGATTTTTTATAGATTTTTTATAGATTTTTTATAGATTTTTATAGATTTTTATAGATTTTTATAGATTTTTATAGATTTTTAGAGGTTTCTTTAAAGTCTTCAATCTTTTCTATGAGTAAAAACTTCTGTTTTAGTCTAAAGCTGCCTTTGAAGATAGCGACTCCGAAAGTGATGACTCGTACGAAAGATTGGAGAACATATTTTACGAAGAACTGGACAAGAGCGAAATCACCAAGGCTAAGCCTCTTTTGGAACAAGGCGACGTCGATAACATCATACACGACGTCGTCTCCAAGGAGGAATTGAAGAAGATTTTGATGTCGAAGCCGCAAGAAGACACGGATGAGGATAGAAGTTATAGAGAGATTTTAGAATGGGATATGAAAGCACCGATAAGTAATTCGTCGATATTGTCGGAGATAGTAACAGATCAAAGAGTGGAAGAACGCAGCGAACTATTAGAAATGCTGAAACGCAGCGAAGAATACAAAAATCGAGACACCGATCGCGAATTTGACGTCTCACCACCAGAAGACATCGTACAAGATGGGGATGTCATAATGTATGCAAGCAAAGTGTCCCAAAGCATCAATACCATCCAAAGGCCCACCGTTTTAAAAATGTCGAAGAAAGACCAAAGTACCGGTACGGATGATCCTTGCGTTGGCGAATATCCCGGTTATAGTTTGGATAATTTGGAACCGGGCAACTCTAAAACCGTTTGCACGAATATATCCCACATCAGAGCCGAAATGGCGGAGTTCAGTAAACAGTTTGACGAATTTAAGGCGAAATACAATCAACCCAAGAAGGCTTTGGTGAGTAAGATAATACTAATATTTCTTGTAAATTTAATAAAATTTCATTCCAAGGATTCATTTTCGGGAAGCTTTACTTTATTTCTTCCCCTTCTTTATTTCCATACTTTCGTTTCTAAAACAGCGATTTCGTTTATTTTGCCTACAGATCAAGGACTTCAACGAAGCGGTAGAAAAGGAAATGACCGTAATAGGGAAAATGATGAAAGCGCGCGAATTATTCATTGACGAAAAGCACCGACGAGCTCAAGTCGTAGAAGACCGACCGATAAGAAAACTGGAAGACATTCAAATCAGCGAATTCAAAAGACACTATCAGGATTTCGGCATCGACTTTTCCGACGAAGAAACCGACGATGATTTCGTCAATGAATCGGAACTGGAAGTCCATGAAGTCGAGACTTACGAAAAGGAGAAAGAAGTGGCTGAAATTAAAGATATTGACGATGAAAATGACGAAGAGGACGAATTCGAAGATTGTCAATCGGTTAACGAGAAGGAACTGGAAGATTACTTCAAAAATGTGGACATTAAAGTCGAAACTGACAGCAACAGTTGCGTCGAGATAGACGAAGAGTTTAAGAAATCTATAGAGACGATTGTAGACGATGAAAGTGATACGGTAGCTAAAGATACGGACGAAATTAAAGGTACCGCTTCGAGAGAAACTATTGACGAGTTTAAAGATCACGGTGACGAAAAGGGAGAGATGGCGGAAGAAACAGAAGATGCTGAAAGCCTAGCGGTTGTATCGAAAAGGGTGGTTTGTTCGTTGGAAATGCAGCTGGCTAAAGAAATGGACTGAAGGGCGTGGTATTAAGTTATGGTTTTAGTTTGTATAAGTGAAGGCACTAAATAAATTACTTCACGTTATTATTGATTTCATTTACGTTTTTATCAATTTACTTAGCAATTAATAGTGGAAGATCTGAAGCCGGAGCTAAAGTAAAAAAGATATAACATATTGTCATGGATGTCATGATCAGGCCTTTGTGTTTTGACTGATTTAGGAGCTAAAACTATTTACAGTTATACAGAACGCAAAACTTTCTAGTTAAAATATGTAATTAATGGCAAATCTGTTGAAATACTGTTATCTTTCAAAATAATTCTGATGTTATCATCGGATTAAAAATCTGTAATGGTGAATTTGTATTCAACCTCGAGAAGAGCTCCTTTTCCACAAATCAAAGGTTGGATAACATTCAATAATTCGACAACTTAGAACACAAATTATTTACATATTTACACTGCTTTAGAAAATTTGCTTGTAGGAAATTTGAATTCACGCCATAAGGACGAAAATTAAGTGTGTATGAAATTTAAAACTGGAGTGGTTGTGTAGCGATAGATGCAATACCGACTTCATGGCATCTTTGTTGTTAAACGTTTAAAACTGGAGTATTTAATTTGGAATTTTGAAAATAACTCAAAAACGCATAAAGACCAAAAAGACCAAATTTTATATTTAAGCTTTAATCTGTCCTGTGGTGAGCTGATTAAATTTTGAGCATAGTCTGAAGCATCTGGGGAGTGTTTTTTTTACATAAGGAATATCTGTTATTTACCATTCGAGAAGAACATTCTTCAAATAAAAGTTGTTTATGATATCGATCTCTAAAATTTTGTTCCATACATGATTTCTATAAAATAGAGGGCAATAGAAAAATTTGAAGAAAAGTGTTAAATTTTAATTTCTCATCATTTTCTATGGCAATGAATATAAAAAAAATGTTTCGAGTAAGATGTGTTTGGAAAATGTATGTATTTAGTTCATCCTCAAAATATTTACAAATTTAAAAAGCCTATAGATAGGAAAGTCATGTATTGGACATATTAGATTTTAATATTTAATAGTACGAAGGAATAGAAGGCAACATACATTTATTTTTTCAAATTTCGACTTAGTCAAACCGCTGGTCAAACGATATTAACCGCAGGTTAAACGATATTAACACGCTGACCGCCTCTCTGGTTTTCTGTGCGTACATATACAGGCACGATAATTCGATCGAGGAAAAAATTGACATATTTTGTCGTGACATGCCAGACATCTTTTAGACAAGCACAACTTTATTCTGACTTGTACAAATTCATTGAAACGTACTAAACATCATTAGAACATGAACAACATCATTAAAAAAATGCAGAATTGATTGAAATGTGCATACCATCATTCAAACAGAAGCTCTGATAGAGTTAGATTTGATTTTCTTGAATTATTTCTTCTCTAACTTAGAACCGTATTGATTTTGAGAATTTTCGGTTCAACCGAACCACTTTTAATATCAATGTTCTTAATATCCTATGAATTTCTTATTGGACTTAGATTTTACGCATTCCAATCATTCCAATATAGTAAAGCCTCTGTTGTTGCATTCACAAGAAAAAGGAACCTTCAAGGAATGAAAAAGCTTTATGTGCAGACAGCTGAAAATAGCAAAAGAGGTTAAATATCTTGGAATCACTCTTGATGACAAGCTTAGCTTCTGCAGACATATAGAAAAAACAACAGAAAAAGCTGTAAGAATACTATGGTCCTGTAGACGGATGGTAGGGAACGTATGGAGGCTTAAACCAAGTATGATGCACTGGCTTTACACTATGGTTGTAGTACCTGTTATAATACTCATCAGCCATATGGTGGCACAAGACTAAAAGCATAACAGCTAACAGAAAATTAGACAAGGTGCAAAGACTAGCCTGTCTAATAATAGGACCATTTAGAACTACGCCCACAGCAGCAATGGAGCTACTGCTAGGTCTTCCTCCATTACACCTTGGGGCGGAGAAGGAGACCATGGCGGCGGCATGCAGGCTGTTTACAGTGTTTACTAATGGATTTGGATGGAAAGTTTCTAGAAAAGTACACCACACAATGATATTAGAGAAATTAAAACAAAATTCGGTACAAAGAGTGCCATCGGATAGAACGCCCATTATTCACGAATTCAGGAAACCTTTCGATATTCAAATACCAGAAAGGGTCAAAAGCCAGGAAAATAGGGGAAACAAAACGAATCAATCTGGTATACAGACGATTCGAAAATGAAAGACAGCACAGGAGCTGGGATCTACCATGTGAACTCAGGGAGGACAATTAGTCTGAACCTGGGGTCACTGACAACAGTCCTCCAGGCTAAAGTAATAGCAATAAATGCTTGCGCCAAAGTCATGCTAAATGACTCTTTTAGAGATAAGAAAGTCTTTTTTATGACAGAGAGTACTGAAAAGGGTAGAAGTATAATCTAAATCAATATTTGATTGCCCTCCAGGCCCTGGCAGAACATAACAAGGTCACCCTTGAATGGGTGCCAGGACATGAGGGAGTGTTTGGAAACGAGAAAGCAGACCTCATAGCAAGGAAGGAAGCGGAATAAATTCTTATTGGACGACCAGAACCCACATGTGGTATCTCATACCAACATGTTAAATGGGTGTTAAAGGAACAAATAAATAGAGAACACTGGCTCCAGTTGGAACTTCCTGAACTTATACAGTCCAAAAGATTCAAAGAGCAAACAAAATGAACTGCTAAACCTTAGCAGAAGCGAACTCAAGGCCGTAATAGAACGCCTTACGGGACACTGCCGCCTTAGAAGACACCTAAATCTCTTAGGGATATCTAATGACTCCCTATGTAAAATATGTGAAGAGGGGGACGAAACTCCTATTCACATACTATGCCGCTGTCGGAACCTTAAATGGGAACGGGAATGGTACTTCGGGGTACCATATCCGGAACCTGAAGAAAGCGCCCATCAGACATATTCTTGAATTCATCAAGAAAATCAATCTAATGGGATAGAAACTGTGAGGGGTACAATAAGCCTAGAGCTTTAGTACAAGGGGGCGTTGAACCACGCCTTAATTGAGATAGATAAATAGTAAAATCAGAATAATGCTTGGTCATGCCTGTCAACTGTGAAACCAGATATTTTTTTTATATTAGGCATTCCAAACAAATGAATTGCCATTGGGGTTTGGTTTATCTAAGGGTGGCGACATAGAATCAAAAGTAGCGATGCTTCTTGTACCATCTTTAATGTAACACCAGAATAAAACACGCCCTTTTCTAAATGTAAATTGCACAAATAATTTGTGCAATTTATATATGAGCAGGCTTAAGAGGTAAAAGAGCCAATTATTAGATAAATTGTTCGAACAAGTTGTAATCCCTAATTAAAAGACGATATGGCATAGTTTTAGTTGTGCCAATCATCACGTGGTTTAACCTAAATAATGACAATGCTTCACAAACCTGAAAATTCAACGTCTTTATACTACTATCGGCTTTTGGTCTTTTATTCAAAACCAAATCATTTTTTACGCTACGAGTTTACACTGGGCTTCAGTTTCGATAAGGTGGGAACCACCAATTTAGCGTCTCTCAAATTTAATCTTATGGAAAGTGGCCTACATAACACGCATGTTGATAAGAATCTACTTTTCGCCCATGTAAATTAGAATAATTATCCATTAGATGATTTAATTGTTAACATTGATTTTTATACCTAGATATTTATGTTTAATAATTATTAAGTAAAATAATTTAAAAGTAACTACATAATTGATTTTTATGTTTTTTTTTTTATAGTTAATACCCATATTTGATTAGATAATTTACGTGAAATAAGCCTACGTGGCTCAGATAGTTAACCGTTTAACTTTCAATTTCAACGATTTCGCAACCTAGGTTCAATTCCCGATAAAAGCATTTTTTAATGAAAAAATATGAAAATTGAAAAAGTACCTACCTCCATTATTGATGTGAATTTTAAATACATTTTATTTATCATAATTCAGTTATTAGGCAATCCATTAGTTTCTCCGTTATTTATTTTGTACTACTTTGACGTTTCAGAAAAAAAATTAAATAGAGGTTAGGTTATAGATCATCTTTACTAATAAAAAAAGTTCTTATTGATTTTATGATTTGTTGTATTAAAAAAAATGTATTTTGTACCTCATATTATTTGTGAAATGGTTCTTAAAAACCAAGAGAAACCAGGAAAAAAATCAACGTCTTAAAAAACATCGTCTTCCGCTCAAAATCAAAACGTTTCTCGTTTCTTATATACTACGAGTGGGAATTACCAATGTAGACACTCTCTAATCTTATAAATAGAAATGTAAGTCATGTAATACCTCTTTTGAGGGATCTATCCAATCGTAATAATTGAGTTTTTGTATTTTATAAACGATCACATTTTTAAATTGACACCATTCTTGCAAACATCATGGTCATGGTATTCGCCATTTTTGAACTAATAATATTTTTGATATTATTTAGAAAACTTCGATACACTCTCTGTATGAGGTTATTATTTATCGCCTTACAAAGCCTCTCTGAATAATTGATTTGAAGATAAATTATTATATTCACGAAAAACTTATCATAATGCCATTATGGCGTGATGATAAGTACTTATAAATAAATAAAATCAAGAATAATAGGCATGATACAAAAGTCGATATTCAATATCGAAATATATAATCATAATTTTCTAATTAAATATTATGTGACAGAGTTTTGAACTGAAATCAGTCCGTAATTTGGGATCAAAACATAAAATGGGCAAACATAAGAAGGTTTCTATATTCAAGAACTATTTATTAAATACTTCGTTTCATGGATTTAGATTCATCGTTGATGACAAACGACATTGGTCAGAGAGGTAAACAATTTAAATTAATTATCAAATTATTTTTTGTAAATCATCCGCAAATACTTGCTTGGAGCCTAATGTTTAAAATTGTAGGAATTATTTTTCCAAATAATTAATTCCTGCATATAAAAATTATGTTAAAAAATCTGATGTGTCCAACACATGACTTTCCTATCCAGTTATTATAGGCTTTTTCCGGTTATTTTGTACAACCTATTGCAGCACCTTTATAAATGTTTAGAGGATAAACTAAATATATACATTTTCCACATCTAAATCGAAACATTTTTCTATAGATATTCATTGAAAACGAAAATACTGAAAAATTTAAATTTAGCACTTTTCCTTCAATTTTTCCAATACGGTCCATTTTAGAAAAATCATAAAAAACAAAAATTATATACATCGATATCACAAATAACTTTTATTTAAACAATTTTCCTAAAAATTTGAATTTTATTACATTTTGTCAAATTTCTCGAATACGGACCATTTTAAAAAAAAATTGTATAGAACCAAAATTATAGATAATAATATTGTAAGTAATTTTTATCTGAACAAATTTCTTCTCCAAACATCAATAACAGATATATTCCATAAAATATAAAAACGGCCTCCCATAAAGTACCCCCCAAATGTTCCGCCTTCGTTCAAAATCTAATCATTTCACCTCAGGCCGAAATAAAACTTAAGTTTAAAATTTAATATTTTTTCCGTTATCCGTTTTTGAGTTTTCTTCAAAATTCGAAATTTACACATTTTCTCAAATATCTCGAATACGGCCTATTTTAGAGAAATTATGTATGGGACTAAAATTATAGAGAATTATATTACAAGCAACTTTTATTTGAACAATTTTAATAAAAAAATATTTTTTTTACATTTTGTCAAATTTCTCGAATACGGACCATTTTAGAAAAATTTTGTGTAGAACAAAAATTATAGATAATATTTGAAGAATTTTCTACTACAAACGTAAATAACGGATATATTTAATAAAATATAAAAATTACCACCAATAAAGTACCCCCCAAATGTTCCGACTCTGCCCAAAATCTAATCAGTTCACCGCAGGCTGGAATAAAGCTTAAGTTTAAAATTTGGTTGTTTTTCTTTGTATCGGTTCATGAGTTATGGTGGATGCAGACAGACAGACAGACAGACAGACAGACAGACAGACAGACAGACAGACAGACAGACAGACAGACAGACAGACAGACAGACAGACAGACAGACAGACAGACAGACAGACAGACAGACAGACAGACAGACAGACAGACAGACAGACAGACAGACAGACAGACAGACAGACAGACAGACAGACAGACAGACAGACAGACAGACAGACAGACAGACAGACAGACAGACAGACAGACAGACAGACAGACAGACAGACAGACAGACAGACAGACAGACAGACAGACAGACAGACAGACAGACAGACAGACAGACAGACAGACAGACAGACAGACAGACAGACAGACAGACATACAGACAGACAGACAGACAGACAGAAAATGTATATATTTAGTTTATCCTCTAAACATTTATAGAGGTGCTGCAATAGGTTGTACAAAATAACCGGAAAAAGCCTATAACTAGATAGGAAAGTCATGTGTTGGACACATCAGATTTTTTGAAATATACTACTTACATGACTTGTTAGGTAATATACTATTTTAGACACCAGAAGAGTTAGGAAAATTTAAAAAATTAGTCGGGAAGAAATCTTAGAAGACAGGAAATTTTCAATAAACGTTTTTTGGGGGCTACCTTGATAAAATGAACAAATTATATAGTCCGGTGGCAAAAGTTGAAGTAGGTTAGAAAACAAACTTAAGTAGTAGATTTTTAAATACTATACTAGGTAAATTATAAGGGATCTGAACAGAAATATGGCGGTTAGAGGGTTAAAATTACGTTTCGATGGTTCAAACAAACTGACGCTACATAATAATTATTTTGGGGTATTCGGATAATTCCAGTACATAATAGCGGCTGTAAGCAACTGCCCATAGCACACGTTACAGAACCAGCTTGAGCATATATACGCGAAAAATAATTAAACCAAAAAAATAGTTTAGGAAAAATAGCATTATTGCAGCAACACACTGAAAGGTTTAGTAATTTGTTGTTTTTTTACACAGAATATTTTGGACGATTTGCGTCACTTTGAGCTGGATAGCGGCCAGTTTACTGATATATTCGGCCTACGATGATTTTTTACACAACGCTATCAGTTTCGTCGTCGATACGAGCTTTCTAGAATGGGACACTCATTTTCCAACCGTTGTAATTTGCGAAACTGACAATGAAGACAACATTGCAACTGTTACTGATAGGTAATCATTAAAAAACATATTTCGAAAATTGTTTTTGGTTAACTAAAACGAGCAATTTCTTAGGGCGTAATAAATAAAACACAATCTGTATGTTTAGTATAGTTTTTTTAAAGGTATAAATAAAAATAAACCTCATGAAACTAATAAAGTAAATAATAAATTACATAATATAGTAAATAATAAAGTTAATAATAAAGTAAATAATGAAATAAATAATAAAGAAAATTTTAAGTCATGCAAACCTTTGGTAGAGCGTCATAAAAATTGCAAAATTTTGTAAAAAATTTCGACTTTTTAATAATTTGCTTTTCTTAATTTTGAAAAACTAGATAAAATTTTAAAAAAGTGGTTCAAGAGAAATATAATTCACTAAAAAAATAAAAGAAATAACTTTAGAAATGGAGTACCTACTACCAAAAGTTTGCATTTAAAATTTTTAGTTTTTACAAATCCATAGTCCATTGTTTTAGGGTGTTCGGTGACCCACATGATTACAATCTGGATGAGATAGTGAAAGAATTGGTATTTTACAAAGGCCTTTCATTGTATACTCTACAAATTTGCGGTCCAAATTTGGGCGATCAAAGAGATAAAAATTGTTTTATAAAGAATTTGAGCTATTATCACGATGAGGTATAAAGTTATCATTATTTTTCTTGTTATGTTAGTTTTTTGAATATTATTGGCCACGATATTTTAATGTAACATTTTAATTTTATCTTTTATTAGTTCGGTCACAGTGGCAGTTTGAAAATATCTCCTAATAACAAATTTAAAATTTTTTAAAAATGTTACTGTAAACTTTATGAGTTTAGAAGCTCCATAGCAGTGTTGTCAGCCTATTTGTTGTAATTATTCAAACTTTTTTAAGGTAAAGAGTTCTTGTAAAGACATTTTTCACGGTTGTCAATGGAACGAAGTCAAATTTGATTGTTGTACGTATTTCAATGAGATATATACAGAAATGGGAAGATGCTATGGTATAAATACAATGCAATCGAGGTAAAAAAACCTGAAACATTGTTAAATACTTACCCAGTGTCTTAATCAAACTTCGTTTCAGAAAAAAAGATGTACCGTTCTATAAAATGGTGTCGAATAAAAAATCAGGACCTGGAAAATTGTTGTTGGAAGTCAAAGGGATTACAAATGTAAAATTTTGTTTAAAAAATTCTAAATTGGATTAATATAATTTGTTTTGTAGTTGTATACTTTGGGCACGTTGGAAATACCGTCATTGTCTAGTTTTGCTGGCGACACCATATCACTATCTCCACACATTCATTTTAGAAGGACTTTCGCAATAAAAGAAATAGACAATCAACCTGAAGTAACTAAATTGCAGTCTCGTTCTTAAATATTTTATTCAGGATTGTACTAGGTGTATATTGGCTGACATTTTCTATTTTTTAAGGTAAGGGACGTCAGTATAGACCAGAGAAATTGTCGCTTTCCCGAAGAAACGTATTTAGACGTTTTTCCTTACTACAGCTACAGCGCCTGTTGCGTCCAATGCCGCAAAGACGCACAATTTAAAAAATGTGGATGCGTTCATCATCTTATGCCGAACACGCGTAAGTTTTGCAATAATTGGAAAAATAATTTAGAAAAGAAAGGAATGTCTTAGTTCATTTCACCAATTTTGGGTGATACCTGTAATAATATACGACACCTTTTAATTTTTAAGTGAATATACAATCTTGAAATTAATTAAAATGAAATATTACTCATTTCTATGACCTCTATTTTTATAAATCTACTGTCATTGTTAATATTTTTGTATAGTCTTGTTTCCATAAAATTTCAATACCTAAAAAAAAATTTCTACCTTTTTTAAAACTAATAAATGTTTTTAGCTTTTGAAAAGCAATGCGATTTGAAAGGTATCAAATGTCTCAACAAATATTACAACGAAATTTCCATTTTGAAAGCATCATGGTCAAACAGAATCGGCCTGGTATGTGGATGTTTGCCTAGCTGCAACGAAATTGAACTATCCACAATAAGAGACGAAAAACGAGGGTAAAAATCTTTAAAATATGTAGTAGATCTTAAAATTATTGTTAATATTATTAATTATAAACAATCATTGTTGCCTACATGATTTTAGTTTTATATTTATTTACATTTTTCCTTGTAGTATTGAACTAGACTATGCTGTAGTGGAATTAATCTTAGCAAGATTGCCAACTGAAAGATTTAAAAGAAACGTTGTAAGAGGAAAATTGGATTTAGTCGGCAAGTATCCAGACCCAATTTACTTATCCTTTTTTATTCCTTTTAGTTCAAGCAACGAAGGCTCAAAAAAAGGCATAGAGGGAAATGCATGAAACACAATTCATAACTTTGTTTGGACTATTTAGGAGGTGAACATATCGAAAGTCTCGTAGCCTTTGAGCCGGGGGGAGAGGGGATCTAAAGATTTCATATAAAATGAAAGCTACAAGTTTTACCCTATATCAGCTCTTGAAAGTCTGTAATTTTGGAAAAAGAAATTTTGCTCACATATTTTGCTCTTTTTGACCGGATAACTCTTCAATGATGCATCCAAAAAATAAATGCAGACCATAGAGTTGTAGAGAATTAAATTCTCTTTAATAATGTACACTGCACAAAAATTAGAGCATCACTATTAAAAGGCGCAAAAGTTTTTCTTTATTTTAGTTTTCGATATATTTAAGCATTGGGATTAGTTATGGATACTTACACATGTAAAAAAAGGATATCCTCCTCTTTGATTTAATCTTCTTTATCCCCAATATCTTCTTCATCGGACCCCTGTTCGGAAATAGTCATAGAATCCTCCTGTTCTTCTTCATCTTTGGAGTCAACTTGAAGGACCCCATTCAGGCAGTTCCCCTGGCAATTTTGGTATGCTGTGGAACATTTGAAGTTTGCTTTTTTGCAGCCTCACGTCGCGTTGGCACAGTCTTTCGTGCATCGGCAGAAAATCATTTTCATGATGTCCTTCGGTGCAGCTGCCAACTCACTGTGCACTGGAACCAGGCAGTTGTTCCCAATCTTCCACCCATACGTCTGAGGAGGCAGGTCATTTTCCAGTTACAGTTGAACTTGGTGGAATGTTCGGAGGGAATGCTGTTTTACTGCTCCCTCGGTGAGAGGAAGATGAAAACGAAGACGAAAATAAAAGTTCTTCCCACCCCAAAAGAGCAAGAATAGACTCAATGTTACATAATGTTTAATTCACTTTTCTATGTCAATAAACGTTGTTTTCAGTTAATGGTTGTGATTTATAAAACCATCCTGCTGTCTTAAAGACACTCATAAATGCAGAAACATGGTCATAGCAACATATTTTGCCAATTAAAATGGTATAGATAATATTTAATTAAGTGTGAGGAACCTGGTCAGAGCGACCACAACTAATATATTCTAAAATGAGTATTTGTGCTATTTAGACATCCGAAAAATGGGATCTTCAGACCTCCACTCCCCCCGGCTCAAAGGCTACGGTGTCAAAAATTGTGTTCCAAACATTTCCCTCTATATATTTTCGTTGCCTGCACTATTTCCAATATAAAACACTTATTTTTTGCGTCTGACATGAGGTTGTAATTTAAACGGATATAATTGACAACAACGCAATAGCGTTGTTGCCGCTATGCCACTCTCGTTGTAAAGTATACTTGCCGCGTTTGAGAATCCACATCGGATGCATCTGAGATGTAATAAATCTTTGATCACGTGATTCAGTATACATAAATGTAATGGAACAGATGTGTCCGATGTGGATAAAAAAACACTCTAGATGTAAAAAATGCATCCAATGTGGATTCTCAAACTATTTAATACAATTAATACATTTTTAGTTTCTATGGGTGGAGCTGCTGCACTTTTCATAGGGGCAAGTCTTTTGAGTCTCATCGAAATATTCCATTTTTTAATTGTCACCCCGATCAGCGACTATGTGCGAAATAGAAACAAACAAAAGAAAGTAGCGTGGACCGTTAAAGATGACAGATTTATAGCAAGAAAGATTCCTGCACTACCGACTATTTCCTAGTAAATTCATGTAGAATACGTTTAAATAAAGAATGTTAATTTGTGTTTTTCCCTTCTATTAACAATCAAGATAAGCGCCGACAATAAACAATTCGCAGTATTTAACAAAAATGTTTTTTGCGCTCTTATTTAAATTTTTCTACAGTAAAAATCAAAAGTATTTGTCCTATTTAACATTGATAAAGGTAATCGGTATACCCATCGATATTTTTAAAAAATAAAAATTTTCGTATTTGACATAACTCGTAATTATATTTGTAAGTACGATGAGAAAAATGGATATTAAAAATAAAAAATAAAAGTAATGTTTTTGGACTGAAATTTCGTATTCAATCGAATTCAAAAATTAAGATTTGGTGTCAAATCAGGACTATATGATGGATCAACAATATATTGTCTTAAATGGGCGGTAAAAAGGGAATTTCCATACTAGGTTAGACTATTATAGCGTTTTTTTTTGGGAAAAGCACTCCATAAGGGGCGTTTATTAATATTATAATCTGATCAAGAGTTGATCAATAAATAATTTTGTTATAACCTAATTTAACTAGGGTTGCAATCTTAAAAACTAAAGTTTTACTCGCTTGTATACCTTATGGTCTAATAATTTAATTACACTAAAATAACGTGAAACACCAAACCGCACAATGCTTTGCTTTGTTATTAACACAATCACAAAGGTTTCACTCTCTTGAGTCTTCTTGTCAGGTTCGTGTTGTCAAGAACCTGGATCGCCTCAACGTTCACATGTTGGTGGAGACGTTATTCGTGACTCCTAACGAATCTGGTGATAGTCTGGTCAACAGTCTTCATTTGAAGGTCTCGATGAAGGTTGCTGTTTTTAATGTATCAAGAAGCATCGACAATGTTCCTCAATACTTTGGAATATCTGGATTATTAGAATATTACTGTAGCTGGTACAACCCCAGAGCTGAATGCCATAGGTTTGATCCCCTTAAAAGTATATTCCAAAAAGTATATACTGAGCACGTGCTATAACAGGACATTCTTAGAAGATACATACCCAACATGTACCTCATATTCTGAGAATGTTCTAAATGCTTGCAGGTAAAAATTAACACCAAATACATGTAAAAACAAGTTTATATACATATCTATATGAATTTTTCCCAGATGCCGATCTAATAATTCGCTACCAAACGCACTAATGGTGAGTGTTTAGGCCAAAAACATTCTCAAACTAAAATAGAAGAAGAAGAATAACACAACCTATTAACCTAAACTTACAATTCCTACAAATTTTTTACTTTCCTATCTGTATACAGATATAAGGAAAGTATAGGAATCATGATTTTTTCGACCTCGACTTTTCGACGGATTTTTAAGTTTTGAGGTCCCCTGAATCCGTTTTGACTATTTTCGCGATGATGTCTGTCAGTGTGTGTGTGCGTGCGTTCGTGCGTGTGTGTGTGTATCCACCATAACTCATGAACCGACACACAGAAAAATACCAAATTTTAAACTTAAGCTTTATTTCATCCTCCAATGAAATGATTAGTTTTTGGGCAGAGTCGGAACATCTGGGGAGGTACTTTATGGGTGGTCATTTTTATATTTTATGGAATATATCTGTTATTTACGTTTGGAAAAAAAATTCTTCAAATAAAAGTTACTTCTAATATTATTATCTATATTTTTTGTTCTATACAAAATTTTCTTTTTATAAAATTTGTTTAAATAAAAGTTGTTTATAACATAATTCTCTATAATTTTTATTCCATACATAATTTCTCTAAAATGGACCGTATTCGAGATATTTGAGAAAATGTGTAAATTTCGAATTTTGAAGAAAACTCAAAGACGGATAGAGAAAAAACATTAAATTTTTAACATAAGTTTTATTTCGGCCTGACGTGAAATGATTAAATTTTAGACAAAGTCGGAACATCTGGGGGGTACTTTATAGGAGGCCGTTTTTATATTTTATGGAATATGTCTCTTATTTATGTTTGGACAAGAAAATTGCTCAATTAAAAGTTACTTCTAATATTATTATCTATAATTTTTGCTTTATGTCAAAATTTCTTGAAATGGACCGTATTCGAGAAATTTGACAAAATGTACATAATTCTGATTTTTAAGAAAATTGTTGAACTAAAAATTGTTTGCGATATCGATCTCTATATGTTTTGTTTATATATGATTTTTCTAAAATGGACCGTAATGGAAAAATTGGAAGAAGAGTGCTAAATTTAAATTTTTAGTATTTTTTTCTATATAAAAATGTTTCGAGGTAGATATATGGGAAAATATATATATTTTTTGATCTCGTTTGTTTGTAAGAGGTAAGTAAATTAATAAAAATGAATTGCATCGTATTATGTTCTATATAAAAATAAACAAATTTTACTATATTTATAGTTTTTAGTGACGTTAGAATACAGGATATCCCAAATATTAATTGCCAGTGTGAATTTATTAATATAGTTAATACTAATGGTGGATTGAAACTAAAATACAGTGTTACCAGAATTACTTACACACTCTCTATGAAAAAAATCCTGTAAGGCCAGATATTGAACTAGAAGAACTATAGCTAAATTAAATTTTAAACTTAAGTTTTATTTCGGCCTGACGTGAAATGATTAGATATTTAAGGATATTTTTGAGATTACCTAAAAGTACTTAAAGTAGGTGTTCAAAATGTTCGCCATTAATGTCATGACAATGATCTAAACGATTTTAAGAATTGTTTTACATTTTTTTGTCAAACGTTTTGAACATTGTGAATTTTGTCAATATTTTTTCTCTGAAGAACTTGACGATGTTCAGCCTATTTTTGTGCACCTCTGACTTCAAATAACCCCATAAAAATCCAGTGACTATATTGGCTCTCTTCTACCAATCCACTCGTTCGGAAATACTTTGGGATAGGTAAATCTTTACTGGCAAATCAAAATGTGGTGGTGCACCGTCTTGATGGAACCAAATGGTGTGATGTCGTCTACATTACTATTTTTCCCTAGATACAATTCCTTTATTGCTATGACAGGATAACTGTCTGGAGGAGGATCAAATATATCGTTCTGCAGTTAGTTTACCTTCAATAAAAAATGGTCCTGGTATGTGTTTTGGGCAGGATTCCTGCTCATACATTGATCTTCTGAGGGTGCTGTTTGTGTGTCTCCTCTTTTCAATGCGGATTTTGATCGGACCTGTATAGCGGCAATCGTGACAGTTAACAGAACTAAAATAAACAATTTTTTGAGATAATTTTATATCCTGATTACAACATTCATTACAATATTCCATCAAAATTTCACAAAAATCGGCCTTAAGATCAAAATCGCCATCAAAGACAGATAATTTATTTTACTAAATTACTTCCAAAATATTAGTTACTTACGTTCAAGGAAGCATTTTTATGCGTGTAGGTAAAAAATGTAAAGAATTATTTTCATACCTTTAGTACCTTTCGTTATTTCTTATTAAAATAAAAGGGTAATTACGGCACATATTTGAAATACTGACATTGTAAAAGTTATTATAAAAACATTGTTAGATCGCAAAAAAAGGTAGTCAACTAGTAGCTAACTGAAATAAGTTAGGGTTAGCTAAAAAAATGGGACACCGAACACCTGCTCTATTTTGTTTAGTGTTACTAGTGTGTTCATCGTACACAGGTGAGTTGTGATGGTCTAAGAAAAAACATTTAAAAAGATTACAATTTGTATAATGCCATGTGGATGAAATTATCAATCTTTAATCTTTAGTAAGTAATTATTAAAAAGAGATAAAAACAAGATATAGTTTAAAATATCTATTCAGTTGTTCTAAATTTGGAAAAATGTATTGCATAAGGTTCTAAAATAACTAAAAACTCAAAAATGAAAATTTTTGACTATCCAACTCGATTTTTTTAATGAAAAAAGGAGACATTTGGTTCCGTATTTTGAAAGATTTTTTAGGTAATCAAAAATCTACCTAGTGAATTTGGACATTATAAAAAAAAATTAAAAATCTGTTTTAATAATAATTTTAAACGAAAATAATTTAAAGCAAAGTGCTGCTTAGAACAGAAACAATTAATTTTTTGACAATACAATATATGCTTCTCTATTTACTATATTTGATAAAGCAAACATAATGATTTGCTAACTTATTTATTTGGCAGATCCAACTTTATAGAAAATATTTTAGACAAAAAATATGGGACATTTTACTGTCCACAAAAAATGTTTTTATGATGTTAATGATAAAACATGTCATTTTTAATTCATTTGCGAATATTTTTTTGACATTTTTTCTAACATTTTACAAAAAATTAGTATATTTTAGATCAAGGTTATTAATTTAAAATTTTTTAAATTTTTATTTATTTTACAGAGGCGTACAAAAGTTTCATCCACAAACGAGCGGCACCCACACAATGTAAAATAGTGTGCACTGGAGGTGGAGGTGGTGGTACCTCCACCATAACAATTCCAACACCAACTACGGCAGGTAAATAGACCAATTTAATATATGTATAAAAAATTCAAAAATGTTATATTTTCTATATTTTAAGGTCCAGTAACTAATGGTCCTACAACCCAAGGTACTTCAACTGAAGGTCCTACGACCGAAGGTCCTTCAACAGAAAGTCCATCAACAGAAGGTCCTTCAACAGAAGGTCACTCAACAGAAGGTCCTACAACCGAAGGTCCTTCAACTGAAGTTCCTACAACCGAAGGTCCTACAACTGAAAGTCCTACAACTGAAAGTCCTACAACTGAAGGTCCAACAACTGGGGCTCCTACAACTGAAGGTTACACAACTGGGGCTCCTACAACTGAAGGTTCAACAACTGGGGCTCCTACAACCGAAAGTCCTACAACTGAAGAGCAAACAACAACCGAAGAGCAAACAACAACCGAAGAGCAAACAACTACTGAAGGTTCAACTACTCCAGGTAAGTACGATGTGTTCTTACTATTGTTTATTTTTTGAATGAAAGGTTTTTAACTCGGGTACTTATTTTATTTTTATTATATATTTTACATACTTATTTATTGATTTTTTCAAGAATCATAGTCTTTATACAAATACGTTTTCGAAAATTTAGAATTATGCAAAAATATTTTAATTTCTGTTAATAGTCATGCGCCTTTTACAAAATCATAATTAAAATGATCATGATCTTTGCTTTGGAATAAAAATGAGCAATTTCAAGTGTAGTTTCATAGAATATAGATGTTGATTATTAAAAACGAGTACCTAATAATAGAAATACAGATTGAACGCTGTGCATTATTTAACTTTGGTACTAAAATCGAAATTAAGTTTTATGAAATATTTTTCAGCATGGCCCAGTTGTCCATGTTACTGTACCGCCAATGGAAAGCAGTATAGAGGCGGACCGGCTGCAGGTAATTGCTGATAATTTTTTCTAAATAAAAACCGTTTAAATCTAGAAATAAAAACTTGCAAATTCAGATATATTGTCGAAATATTTATGCAGTTGTATTTTTCTGGTTTAGAATTCGCTCGTTCCCACCATGCAAGTCATCATTCTCTCTACTCTCATGAAAGCAACAACCATCACCTCACCGGTCAAGTAAGACACCATGAAGCTCAGCATGGTCATCAATTACACACCCAAGACAAATCTCATGGCGTGCATGGGCAACATTTACATGGACAAGAAAAGAGCCATGGTCATCATCTTCATGGACAAGAAAAGAGCCATGAGCATCATTTACATGGACAAGAAAAGAGCCATGGACATCATCTTCACGGGCAAGAAAAGAGCCATGAGCACCATCTACATGGGCAGGAAAAGAGCCATGGACACCATCTTCACGGGCAAGAAAAGAGCCATGAGCACCATCTTCATGGACAGGAAAAGAGTCATGAACACCATTTACATGGGCAGGAAAAGAGCCATGGTCACCATCTTCATGGTCAAGAAAAGAGTCATGGGCACCAACTACATGGACAGGAAAAAAGTCATGGACATGAGCACCATCTACATGGACAGGAAAAAAGTCACGGACATGAACACCATCTACATGGACAAGAGAAGCATCATCAAGCCCAACAATCCCATCACCAGGAAGAAAGGAAGCATGTTTAAATTGAAGTTTATTTAATTTTTTAATGGATACGGATAGGTAGTGGACACGTTTGTATTAATGTAAATAAAAATGACGCATATATTATTTTATTATTAAATACGAAAGATAGAAGACTTGTATATATAGTTATTGTTGAATTAAAAGATGTTTGGTAAGCACTTGTTGTTTTCTGTTATACTCTTTTATAATAATAGTATATTGCCATACTAGTTTGATAAATTACTTTTACATAATTTGATATACAATATTTTTCCTACGACCTCAAAATGTAAAACCAGGATAATCTGGCTATGGCGTCTCAATCAAGATGTGGACTGATTCTAAGTTTGTTTTTTATATGTCTTTATTGGTTTTGAATAATTTTTAAAGCGTTCTGCGAATCCAAGTTTATTTAATCTTGTTATGTAAAATTTAAATTCTAGAATAGTAGGTATATGTCAGCTTAATAACATTCCTGTATATTTTTCTGTACTAGAGTTAATAATTCAAGAAGTTTTCAAATATAGAATTTGTAACGCTAAATTTCTAAACATAAAACCATACATTTTCATTGCCTAGAAAACTTTAGTGGACATATGATTTTTAAAAGTTAACATTGAATCATTGTAGATCTCACGTCCACCTATGAGCGAAAATTAATAGTGTCTGATATAAATTGTGTTATGCAAAATAGGTTGGTAGTTGTGGATCTATTTTTTACAAAACCGTATTGATAAGGTGTTAATTACCCACTGAAATGAGAATATATCGGTTTGTATAGGCAAATCTCCAAAACTATAGAAAAATTGTTTATTATTGTTATAGGCCTATAATTTTCTATTCTTTTTTCAAAATAGGAATGACTTTTGACTCTTTCAATACATCGGGAAATTTATTAGTTTGTAATGATAAAGTTGCATAAAGTTTTAAGAGGTTTAGAGAATATACATGCTTAAACTGAAAGCAGGAATTTTAACAGGCCTCTTGGTATTTTTAGTTTTAATTTTTTTCATTGCTTCATAAACGTTTTTTTCAGAGAAGTATTCTAGATTTAACATGTCAAGATATTCATTTTGATTTACCGTGGCCGTAAAATTATTAATTTGTTTGGAGAAAATGAATTTTGAAAAAAGTTTGCAAATACATTAGCTATTTCCTGTGGATTATTATAATGCATTGTTCTCGGAAGCTCATTGCAGTTTTGTTTTTCATATACCTCCTCTTTAGAGTCTTGTTGGATTTCGCGTTCAGCTTTGTTATATTAACTTTTGTAAGCGATTGTTGTCTCATTCTTTATCTCTTTTCGAAGACATTTAAAATTATTTCATTTAGAGAAGAAACATTTTTCTGGAAACGGAATGTTTTACAAAGATCAACCAAGAGTCCCTTTTTGTGACAAATTGTGTGAGGAATAATTAATCTTAACTTTTATGAAATATAGTGTTTAAGAAGTTTGGATTAAAATTGTTTTCTTAACCCTTGATTCTAGGAAATCTCCCAATTTACGGTACTTTATTCTGGGATTTGTATAGGGAAAAATGACAAGAAAACTACACAGAAGATTTTTGGAATTTATTTCAATATATGCTCTGATATAACACAGTGAACAATAATAAATTTATAATATTTATGAAACATGCAACTATTCTGAAAAAATAACAGACACATGTCGAATATAAAATATACAAATATGTCTAATAAGAATAAAAGGGGGTAAGAAGATTCTTTTATAGTCCGGTTTCTTTGTGATGACGCCCGCCATTTTGGGAGAACAATAAATTAAAGAGAAAAAGTAAAAATAAATCCACATACGTTTCGACCAACAAAAAAATAAATTAGAAAATAATAATAAACTTAAGTTTTCCCTATCATAGGCCATAAAAATATTGACATTTATTATTGTTATAATAATTGTAATAATATTCTATCTAAAATACACATTTATTTTTTTTTTTCTTATACATTTGTAGAAAAACGTTGTAAAATCCTGTTTTATCGATAAAACGTACTTTTTTTGGTTGAATTTTTTAGATAAAGATCAATAAAAAGGTGCTTATAAACAAATAAACAATAAAATAATAACTATGACTGATAATCATGAAAAATACATTTTTTATAAATAATGGCTGAAAGTTTTTAAAAAATTAAAGAATACTGTGAAAATATTAAAAATTTGGAAAAATACAATGTTCAGTTGTTTAGAAATTTTGCTCTGAAATATCAATTATACAGCGTGTTTCAAAAAATATGCATCATATAAAACTTTGTTATTGTTGAATACTTAGAAAATGTTATTCTTGATAAACATTGTAATACATCGTAAAACTCGATATTAATTTCATAAATATTAAAATTTGTGTACCATATACAAGTGTGGTCAAAAAATATGGATTTGAGTCGGGAATAAAGAATTCTTATTTTTAAAAATAGTGAAAAATTGTACTTGAAAAACTTGTTTAGTATCAATATTTATAAGTAAATATAAAATCTCAACATTAGTCCAAAACAATTTTTTTATGTAAACTTTGAGAGAAAAATGTAATATTAAACGCTTTTTAAAGTTTTCTTGTTACAGACTTTTTGTGATACACTGTATTTTCACAAAATTTCGACATTTATTAAAAATTATGAAAAATGAAACCTAACTACGCAAGATATGATGCGATCTAAAGAAAATTGTACAAAATGACAAGAAAACTAAGCAAAATGCACCCCATATTTTAATATTTATCTATTTATTGAAACACCCTGTACGTTTTACAACTTCTGACACGCCATCGTAGTTTAGCAGCACTTTTAATAGTCCTAAGTACTTTTTTTTGTATTTTTTTTTTCAAGTTAATTATGTTATACAGTGTGTCTACTACCATATGGGAAACTTTCTTCATAACAAGTTTTGTATGGTCTAAAACCCAAAATACAACCATCAAATATCAAATCATTTCAATCATGTACGAGGTTTGTCAAAAAATACAAATTTTTTAAGAATATCAAAAAATTGTTATTATAAAGTAGTAATCAAAATTGAAAGCTACGGTCAAATATAAATATTATCTATTTATCATGAAAAAACTGTTTTATAATTACAATTTTCGATATTGTTAAAAATGAACATCATAATAGATGAAAAAAAAATTGATAACTAATGGTTGTATTTTAAATTTTAGACCATACAAAACTTTTCACGAAATAAATAATAATAAAAATCTTTTTCATATGGTGTCGACCCAAGTAAACACACTGTATATATATTTTTGTTTATATACTAAAAATATTTCTCACTATTAAAATAATACAAGATCGAACAACGTTTTTCCCGCCCCGAAAACTCTCATCTAAAACAAAACAATTTGTTCTTAACCAGATCACAATTTCAACTCCCATATAACAATGTGAGCGTCGTTACAGTTCGCCTCTTTACCGGCACAAACGGGCTTCACTTTATCGGCCGCACAGCACGGCTGTCGGTAATTCACGTACCCCCTCCCGCCCATCAGCGTTATGACAGTCCTTCGCCCGTTATCGAAATTACTACTCTTGTTTTTGCTCTTACTTAATGTCCTACTTTTGTCCTTTTCCGCGATTTGCGATTGCGGTTCTTTTTCGACACTGGTACCGCCACCTGCGCAGTTCTCGCTGACACCGTTCAGCTGCCTGGAGGCGCTGGAGTTGTTTCTCGACACGCTCCTCGCCAAGTTGTTTAAACGTATCGCCATGCTCTCCTCGCTTCCCGAAGACGTGCACAAACTGGAAGATCTCGAATCCACTGACCAATTGGATAAATCCAATGATCGCGGTCTGGATACCTTCATTTTAAGCCTCCTGTCCAAGGTGCTGACTTTGTTCGGTATGGCTGCTAATTCGGGATCGCTGCGTCTTAACGACTCGTAAACCGGATCGGTGAGGATGTTTTCTTCGCGTTCATAGTCTTTGACGTACATCAGTTCGCTGTAGAGGCCGTAGACGTTGTTGGTGTCTCCTGAGCTCTGGGACGATGTGCTGGAGGTCGAGAAGATCGATCCGCCGTTTCCTAGACCTAAAACAAATTAACAGAAATTCATTTATGAAACCTTACGATGTCTATGTTAACACACAAAAAAAAAGATTGTTAAATAGAAATTTTTAGTACTGAAAATGGACAAAAATAGGGTATTTAAATACCTGTCCTTGAATTTATAATATTCCAAAGATGAGAATGACTATAAGAACAATAATAAACCTTGAAATTGATGTACATGACTTTATTAGTAACACAGTCACCAATGAGTATAACAATTGTCCTTTAAAAGTAAAGAACCCTACCATGGTGAAAAAACGACCTTGCAAAACTAAGGAAACAAGTAAGGAAAAAATTCAGCAAAGCTAAAGAAATAAGAAGATTGGAGGAATATAACACTATACAGACCACTTACAACAAAGCCATACGGAAAGTCAAAAAAGATTCCTGGATGAAAATAAAAAAGCTCTAAAGCATGTGCCAAACTCTATAAAATCATTTCAAAAGACAAATAAAACAGAATAAACTTTCTTAAGAACGAATTAAGAGAGTAAACAAGATTAGAGAATGAAATGATAAGAGAACTCTTTAGGGTTTATTTCCCAGGGTCCCAAACGTTACTCCTTCAACACTCCGTTCGGGGGTTTTAATACCAACTAGAACAGAGATCACTTATAAGTAAAGTCCGACCGAAACTTCTACCACCTTCGGCCAAAAAAAAACACATTAGGTCGCACATTCTGCTTCGGCTAAAACCAGCCGAAGGTTTTTGGCCAGCCGCCGAAACTAAACGAAAGAAATATTACGATTTACGAATGACGCCGACTTCAACGCAACTCATGGTTCCCTTCCCTCCGGTCGCATCGCGTAGGAAATTGGGGGTAGATAAGTTAATGTTTGATTGACGTTTTAGTTTAGCCATGTAATGTTCTGAAATTTTTAAATCCCAATAAACCTTAAGGTTAGAACAAAAGTCTAACAATCAGCTTCAGTCAAAAAATGTCCAATAGGAAACAAAGCTGGTACACAGATGGGTTAAAGAATGCAGAAGGAACTAGGGCTGGAGTATTCTTCAAAAACCCTAACACCAACCTTTGCTGTGCAATAGAAAGACACGCTTCACTATTTTACCTTCATTAAGAAGCTACTTTTTAAGGTTCCCTCTATCTCGAGCACATTTTTTAAAGATTCTTAACTCTTGAGGTATTTTTTAAAGATCCCTATACTCTAGAGCAGTGGTTCTCAAACTTTTTTGGCGACAGAACCTTTTTGAAAAACGAAATATCTAACGGAGCCCTAACGAACATTTCTAAAAAAAAAAGGTCTCCGAGCAAAACATTTTTGAAAAAAAAAATACCTCCGAGCAAAATCCTCCTTGCCAGGTCCCTACCGTTTCTTCGCGAGCAAAAAAAAATCCTCAAAATCATATTATCCTTCCTCTGGCCTCTAAAAAAAAGTCCTCCAACCATACTCATGTACTCCTTCCTCTTACTGACTTCTAAAAAAAAAGGTCCTCAAGCTATTATTTTCTTCGCGGAGCGCCCACAAAGGCTTTGCGGAGCTCCAGGGCTCCGCGAACCACACTTTGAGTAACGCTGCTCTAGAGCATTTTTTTAAAGATCTCTACTCTAGAGTATTTCTTAATAACAATTATTCTTTAATTCTAGAGCAATTTTTGTATATACTCTGGAGCTATTTTTTAAAAGTCTCTTTATTTTCAAGCAATTTTTTTAAAGGTCTCTTTAGTTTTGAGCAAATTTTTTAAAGATTCTTTCTCTAGTTATTTTTTAAGATCTCTACACTCTTGAGTGTATCTTAACAATTCTTAAACTTTCGAGCAATTTTTATTTTTTACTATGGAAATATTTTTAAAAATCCTTCAACTCCCAATCAATTTTTTTCAAGATTTATTTAACCTTGAGCAAATTTTATGTTTCAATAATTCTTAAGCAATTTTGTTAAAGATCTTTAATTCTCGAGCAATTTCTTAAAGATTTTTAACTCTTGAACGATTTTTTAAATATCTTTTTTCTCTAGAGTTATTTTTGAAGGATTCCTTTACTTTAAAGGTCTGTTAACCCCCCGATACATTTTTTAAAGATCTTTTAACTCGTGAGTAGGTCTTAACGATTCTTTAATTCTCAAACAATTTTTTAAAGACGTATTAATTCTCGGGCTAGTTTCTAAAAATCCCTTGACAATCGAGTAAGGGTTTTAAAGATTTGTTCACTTTTGAGTAGATCTTAACGATTCTTTAATTCTCAAACAATTTTTTAAAGACATCTTAACTCTCGAACTAGTTTCTAAAGATGCCTTTACTATCGAGTAATATTTTTAAAGATTTCTTCACTCTTGAGCAAATTTTATGTTCCAATAATTGAATAACACTTACTCGTCAAAAAACAGTAAATATTTTGGACAAAAAACATCAGACATCTACAAATGTGTACTTTAATCAACAGGTGCGTTCTTTTCACAATAACAAAACACACTACCACCAGTGAAAAAAATGAAAAACTTAGGACACTTGTAAAACAGTGGAGCGTTGGTTATCAACTGTTTTATCTTCTATTTTATAATCTTTTATAGTTTTTTTTTTAATTCTTTATAGTCATACATTTTTATAGATTCTTATAGATTTTTATAGATTTTTATAGATTCTTATAGATTGATTCTTATCAATTTTTATAGTTTATTATAATTTTTTAGATTATTATAGGGAAAAATATCCATTTGGCAAAAAAACTTAAAGCAGACATAAGAAGTTTAGCGAAAACTGCACATTGATATAGAAAACAATAAAAGCTTTATTTTAAACTGCAGACCCATCAGCTTGATTAGTACATTTGCCAAAATATTTGAAAAAATTAAAAAAAAGAAAGACTTTATGAACATCTCTCTAAAAATATGATTTTGTGTGAAAAACAGTACAGTTTTATCGCAAGTGCTAGTATCAACGAGGCAATGTATGATCTTATAAATGTAATAAAAACGAATCTAGATGATGATAAAAGTGTTTAGCTCTATTTCTCAATCTTGCAAAAGCTTTTGACACGATACCTCATAAAACAACTTCTAAAGGTTCTTGAATGGTATGCAGTGTTAGATTTATTCTCAAGTTAATAACAAGTCCTTAAAATTGGAAACACATAATATAGTGATACTCAAACTATACAAATGGGGATACCACAAGGATTTGCCTATCTTTGTCTTCCAGCTCAAAATATAATGTTATATTTTTCAGTTTTTAATGTTTTTGAATGTGACTAGGATATTTTTATGTTAACCTTATTAAAATACCATATACAGCTTCGTACTCTTGTTACTCTTATACAAATTAATGTATATTGTATAAATATGTGTATATGATAATATTACTTTATATCTTTAGCATATACAGGTTCATGCCTATTTTAATTTAAATTGACTTATATTTTAATTCAACATGTAAAAATGTGAATGTGAATTTTATAATGATAAATAAATGAACATATGTTTACATTCTTGAGTAATAGACTGTTAAAATATTTTACTTTATAATATTGTTTAAAAAGTACTCACCCCTTGGTAAAGTCTTAGACATCCTCGCCAAATCACTTTCCTTACTCCTCCTCTTCCTCAATACGACCGGACTGCTAGCCATGTATTTCAACTTAGACGCCACGTTTTGCACTGAACTATCGGACAGCTGCTTCTCCATCTTGGGTCTATTGGGACTTTCCTCGGGCTTATCTGCGAAGCTGTTATCCAGGCTTTCCGATTCCGGTTTGATTTCCTCTTTGCTGGCTTTCAGCGAGGGATTGATGGGCGTGAAAATCTTTGGTTGGAGGGCCAACAGGAAGGAGATCGGTCCGAAGTGAGCGTGGTAGGAGATGTTGACTCTGCCGCTGATTATCGGTACTCCTTCCAGACGCGGAAGCGGTATCGTTAGGGCTCTGCCCACGTTGGTACCAACCTGAAAGAATTATCAAAATTATATTTGGTATTGTAACGGTTAATAATTTTTATCTGCTTATATAAGTATTAATAAATCATGAAGATGACCATTCTTTCTTTTATACAAAAAAAATATATGACATTACAATTCAAAAAACTCTATTTTCAATGTGTTAAAAAAATGTTTCAAAATTTAACTGAACTAACAACTATGTTGATTATTAGGTTAACAATTTTGTATTTCTAACATTTATCATTGTAGTGATTCTATATGGGTACATGGTTGTCTTAACAAAAAGCTATTTTTTAATGGTAAAAACGTAATTTTTTATATCTACTTGTAGATTAAGTGGCCTGCATTGTGATGAACTAATTTTCCCTAAAAAAATTGTGAAAATTGAGGACTTATTTAATTTATTAGTGTGTGAGTAAACATAAAAACAAACACCTTTTTTTTCATTGTGTATAAAAACTCTCAAAGATAAATTCTTTGTCGCAGTGTAAAAACTTTGAAATTAAAGGAAACCCTATAAATAAACAAATCTATTTCAGTTATTGTCCAGTGGCGTGCTAACTATTTTTAACTGGGAATTAACAAGAAATAATCCATTTCACAGAATCGGCTTTCAGGATGACAAATACTTGTGCTAATTGTAAACAGTCTATAAAAGATGACGCTGATTTTGTTCAATGCGATAGTTGTGATAAGCCTTTTTACAATGACAGACATTGTTACATAACGACTACTACTACTGAATATCGAGCAGTTCTGGTCCACAAGCAAAGAGCTGTCATATTCTTTTGTAATCATTGTAAGTGTGTAATCAAGCAAGCACCCATACTGTTAAAGAAAATATCAATTTTGGAAAACCAATTAGAAGCATTGGCTATGGAAATTAATTCACTCAAGGGTAATATTAGAGGATTGGAAAATGATAAACGAAATTTAACTGAGCTTCAACAAAGAGTCCAGGACCTGTTATTCAAATTATCATCGCGTGATGTGGCACCTGTTGAAGCTGTTGGTGACATTTATTCAGTGCTTGATGAAGTCTCCAACAGGGAAATAAGAAAAATATAATTATATTTAATATCCAGGAAAATGAATCAATGTTCCTTCTAATAATGATCTAATTACAGTTAAAGCTTTACCTAGATCTATAAAAGTTATTATGGATAGTGCTGAAACAGCCATGCAGATTTTAAAAAACAAAAGAAAGATAACTCATCCTACTGCCCGGTTTAATAGTAATCTAACACCTACCCAACAAAAACATATTGTAATGTGAGCCATTTCATTATTCAGTCATGCTCTAATACTCCAAGTCCCTCTCTGTATTATTTGGCCCTTTGAGGCTCAACTTGTCCGCTTATATATAATTAAACCCCTTAAGACCAAACCTATGGGACGACTAAGGTGGAGGTTCTTTCGATGATGTTCGAGAAAGAACGAGATGTTTCTAGTGTATTGGAGAGAATATGTGAACTTACTAGAACATTCGCCAATTTATTAAATTTGTATATAAATTGGTGGAGGAGCCATCAGAGTTAGTTATTATTTGGACAGTGAAGATAAATAGTAATTAGTAGATAGACAGTGGTGAATATAAATAGTGAACGATTCAAAGACATTCGAAATATATATATAAATTAAAATAGTAGTGTTATAAAATAAATAAGTGTTTACATAAATTATTAATAAATAAACTGTTGTTTTAAAGTAAACAAACATCACAATATATATGCCCTTAGACAGCAACTTGACGAAATTAACGTCCTAATAGAACAATAAAATATGCGTATGGTATCCCGAAAATAATTTCTGCTCAAAAAAAAAAAAAAACTAAGCACGATGGGTAATACCAAAAATAAGCATGTTCTTAAAATTTACTACCAGTATATCAATGGAATAAGAATCAAACTCAGTGATCTCATGATTAGTGTATATAATTCTCAATATGACATAATAGTTCTTACTGAGTCAGAATTGCACCCTGATATAGGAGATAGTGAATTAGGTCTCTCAAACTATTCTATATATAGAGAGAATTGTTCATTTTTAACAAGTACAAAGTCACGAGGAGGTGGGGGTAATGATTTGCGTTCAAAAATCCATATCATTAAGTAAAATTATCTCACAAACCACTAATGTTGAACTTATTTGTAAAAATCAAATTGGTTGTACACATATAATCATAGGTGGTGTCTACATTCTTACATCATATTCAATAGAACTTTATAAGAATCACTGTGCTAATATTAACACAATAGTTGAAGAAAACATCGAAAAAAATATATTGGTAGGAGACTATAAATTGCCAAAAATTGAGTGGGAAAATGATGATTTGGGAATTTCTATAATAAACAGTAATTCCAATTACAATAATGCTCAGACAATTTGTGACATATTTGCTTTTCATAATTTGTATCAAGTGAACAAAATTAAAAACTGTCATAATGTAATGCTAGATTTAGTTTTTACTAAAATCAGAGAAACATCTGTTGAGGTAGCTCATGATATATTGTTGCCTTGTGATTCGCATCACCCAGCTTTAGTAAATAATTCAATAATTTTTGAAGAAACTGCCTCTTTAAGCCGGGTCCAGATCAATAAATTTGTGTGTTGAATGTTGTATGTTGAATTGGACAAAAATATTTGCGGCGCAAATATTTTTTTTATTGTGATTTTGTCTCGCAAATATGTACGTTGTGTTGGTGTATCTATTGCGATCCATTTTCATGCGTCGTACATAGCAATAATTTGTGATTGAAATAATAGTACAAACTAAAAAAACATTCAAGTCCACATTAAAACAAGTAATCGAGGGTCGTTCGACGCAAATCTCTTTGAAGTTTGCAGAAAAACCGACAGACCAGTGGATAGCGTGTGTTGTATCTGGCGCAAATATTTGCGTGTTTCTTTGTACGGCGCACAGTCCACATCTAGAAATATTTTGACGAACACGAGCAAATGTGCGTCAAATACAACGCACAAGGTAAATATTTATTGATCTGGACCCGGCTTTAAGGAAAGGACTTTGTAAGTTATTTCAGTAAAGGTAACTAAACTACTTCTTGACTAGTATAAATTGGAATATAATATTTAATAAATCTTTGAACATAAATTTAATTGTAAGCCACGTTTATGAAATAGTATACACTAGCATCGATCTGTTTGTACCTAAAGTAATAATATAATTAAAGACTGTACATTTCCTACATGGTGTAGTCTGGAACTCAAACAACTATTTCTAAAAAAGCAGCTTATGCAAAGTACCACTGATTGGAATGACTACATTAATTTTTCTAGTATTAGATCTAGGTGCAAAATTGTCTCAAGAGCATGTTATAAGCTTATATTCACTCTACAGAAAACTCTATAAATAATATAAAGAAATTTTGGAAATTTGTTAACTCAAGAAGGAAATACCAAATGCATCTCAATGATATTTCAAGCGATTCTGTCCAAGGTATTGCTGATTTATTTGCAGATTATTTTCAATCTACTTATGTATCTAATAATAATGCTTTAAATATACCTACTTTTATGTACTCAAAAACAATATTAATGATTGTTATATAACATTAATCGATGTCTTGGAAAAATTAAGAACTCAGAAAATCACCAGGGCCCCCAATACTGCTGAAAAAATATAGATTTTCCTTAGCGAAACCAATCCAGGAACTTTTTAATATATCGCTACAAACTGTCATCTATTCGTCATCTTGAAAATGTAGCTTTATTACACCTGTGCATAAAAGTGGCGCCAAGAATAGTATAAAAAATGATAGACCTATCAACATAATAAGTTCAATACCTAAATTATTTGAGCATATTATTTACAACAAAATTAATAGTAAAGTAGCACAAATTATCATCTACTAATTTGCTTCTTTTTGTACAGAACGTGTTAGAGACCTTAGAAACTAAACAACAAGTTGTTGGAGTATATACTGATTTGTAATTCTATGTAATAAACTAGGAGCAGTTGGAATCTATGGAAAATTGTTGGAATGGTTGTCATATTTAACAAATAGCTCGCAAGTAGTAAACATAAATGGGGGGTATGTCTAAACAAATTCAAGTTTCCTCTGGCGTACCTCAAAGGAAGCCATTTAGGTCCTTTGTTATTTAATATATTTATCAATGATATTGCCAAAGTATTTGTAAATTTTTACTATTTACAGACGACCTTAGATTCTACTCTGCTGTTAACAATCTCCAAGATTTTCTTAAAGTTCAAAACATCTTGATAAATTACATGATTGGTGTCAGATCAGTCAATTATCTCTTAATATCAACAAGTATAAATACCTGGTGTTTTCTAGACTTAAAACAACTTGAGCTTTATATTAAATATTGCAGGAATTCCTTTAGAAAAAGTAGACAGTATACGAGATCTTGGGGTGAACGTTGACAGTAGGATGGATTTTAGAAAGCATTATGAATATATTCAAAATAGAGGATTTAAGATGATAGGATTTAGTCGTAGGTATACAAACGAATTCACCAACTTGAATACTTTAAAATATTTATATTTCACCCTAGTAGTTCGACCAATTTTTGAATATGCAGCAGTTGTTTGGTATCCAATGTATCAAAACCATATAACGGCCTTAGAAAAAGTGCAAAATCGATTTTTGAAGTATATTTCTTCTAAATTACATATCCCATCAGAAAATTTTTCAGCTTCACAAATAAGACAACATATGCAAATTCGAGAATTTGGCAAACAAAGATATGTAATTGATATACAGTTCTTATAATATAAGACCCTTAATAATTTCATCAAATGTCCTAAATTACTGTCTATGATTTCTTTTCGAGTACCACCCCGTAATTTGAGAAACACAGAATTATTTGGCATTCCTTTTTACAAAACTAATTATGTAAGATTCTCTCCAATTTGCCGCTTAATGGAAAATGGAAACAAAAATTCTGTGGATTTATTTAATACGTCCCTATATTCTATTAAATGTAAAATGCATACAGCTTAATAATAATACTACTACTACTACTACTACTACTATTGCAGTGACTGCTTGTGAGGGTGTTCACAGTGACAGAATATAGGTATCAGTACAGATGTATGAAACAACTTTCAGTGTTTTAGAAAGTTTATAATATACCTTTCTAAAACACTGACAGTTTTTTACCTATATCTGTACCGGGATCTATATTCAGATAGTGTGAACGCCAAAATTTTTTGTCACAAGCCGCCCCTGTACTATTGTATATACTATATATTATATGTTTTTGTATAACTTAATTTTCATATATTGTAAAACTTTAAATGGGTATTACCCATGTATAATTGTAAATAAATAATAAATAAATGTCTCGTAGAGACGTGGTAAAGTGGCTGAAACTATTATTTATATCGCTACTCAAGGTAAAAATATCAATAATTACGGAAAAATAATTTTTAAAAAGCAGTTAAATGTGAAATTAGACAAGTATTAGTGAAGGAAAACAACAAAACCATGAAAAACACTGGTTTGTGAAGGACAACTCCGTACAAAAGCTAACACAGTTGCCAGCACTTATATCCAAAAATATGTAGAATATTCTATTCAAACGATTCAAAATAAGATGCCTTCTGCACTAGACTTTAGTAATCGGACCACTAAAAAAAAAAGATAAAGTAATTCCTGTGTAATAAAGCATTTCACAACTTAGACAAATTCTTCTGTGATGTAGTAATTATATAAAATATTGATTATTAAGAATAAAAATAAATATAAAAAAAAAGGATATTATGTAAAAAATATGTTTAATGTGTATTTATTGATATGGAAACACCCAGTATATGGATTTCCAAAAATAGTCTAAAACTACCAAATCTCAAAACTGGGCGGGTTCAAAATCTAGAAAATTATGTACTATGACATGCTCTACACCTCTAGTAGATAAAGATTTATTTCTTCTTTCTTTCGTAAAAAAATGCACTTGTACTCACCCACAATAATCCTTTACAAGCTAACAATGCAGTCACGTACACCAAAGCCCGATTATTATTGTTATTCAAGGAATCCCTGGGCCCCAACGACCCATTGATCCTCATCACTATCGACGCTATGTTGATATCCTGCAAATGCTTGAACGTTTCGGTGTGATACAGACATATGGTGCTGGAATTCTTCTGCGCTATCCACAAGCCGATCCCGCTATGCGCCATTAAGTTCACGTTACCCAAATTTTCGTGCTGGATGCTGAAGTTCTTCTGGATGTCGCCCGTGACGCCGTTCAGCACCCAAACTTTTTTGCCGCAGGCGGCGTAAAGAGAGAGGTTGATGGGCAGGAGGCAGGAAACTGGGTCAGTTCCTACAAATAGTACGGATTAATAATAAATGTACTTAGAGGCCCTTGAAAAGATTCAAAATCTGTATCTTAGAGGTAAAGAATGGTATCTCCAGTTTTGTGTTAAATAGAGTACATTTATTATAATACCTATATGTGTTTTAGTGATAGAAAATCGTATCTCTATAAGTAAGTAGAAGTTTTTGATTATAAGAAGTATTTTCTCGAACTCTATAAGATTGGAAATTCAATTATTTACCTCTAAGGTACAGAAAAAATTTCTTCAATACCTATATTATAAAAAATATAGACAATAATCAAAAAATAAGAACATTAATTTAATTTATAATTTTTCAAAAAAATCTGAAAACTTTCATTGTAATTTAATTAAATTAAAAAAAATAAACTTTGATCATTTTTTTCTTATTTTTGATATGAATTTTTAATCAGTAACCGTTGGACAATAAAGCACTTACCTAATGTCAAAATTTGCGGTTCCTGCATCAACCAAGCCCCATCAATGGGGCTCTTCCTATATACACAAAGTGTTCCGTTGGCTAAGGCAACGAAAACGTTATCACAGTGATATTTAATTTGCATTATGACGTCGGCAACGATCGTATTGGCTATTTCTTCCTGTTTTTCAGGTTCGTCGGCGGCGTACAGCAACAATTTGTGCCTATCGGTGCCTATCCACACGGTCTCAGTCGCTAGATTGGGACAGGGAGGAGGAGAACCTAAAGGAGAGAAATATATGTAAGAATCACATAAAAGTTATATGTAAATTACATACAAATTAAATGGAGGGTTTGTAAAATGAAAAAGTTATGTAAACTACACACAAATTAGATAAAAGTTTACTCTAGAGCTCTTTTTAAAGATATTTATTCTAAAGAGTATAATATCTTAACAATTCTTTTGCAATTTTTAAAATTTAAAATAGCGCTATTTTTTAAAAGTCCCTTTACTCTCAAGGTACATTTTTTAAAGATCACTTTACTTTCAAGCAATTTTTTTAAAGATTTCTTTACTTTCAAGCAAATTTTTTAAAGATTCTTAACTTTTGAGCTGTGTTTTAGAGATCCCTTTGCTCTATAATTATTTTTTAAAGATCTCTACCCTAGCGTATATCTTAACAATTCTTTAACTCTAGAGTAATTTTTATCTTCACCAAGGAGGTATTTACTTAAAGTTCCCTTTATCTGAAACAAATTTTTTTTGAGGTACTTTTACTTTAGATCAATTTTTTTAGATCCTTTTATTCTAGAGCTTTTTTAAAAAGATCTCTATTCTGGAATATATCTTTAATAATTCTTTAGTTGTTATCTACACTAAGGAGTCTCCTATATCTCAAGCAAATTTTTTAAAATTCCCTTTACTCTGAAGTAAATTTTTTTAAAAGATACCTTTACTTTTGGAAAAATTTTTAAAAAATACTTAACTCTCGAGCTATATTTTAAAGATCCCTTTACGCTATAGCTATTTTTTAAAGATCGCTACTCTCGAGTACACCTTAACAATTTTTATCTTCATATAGAAGCTATTTTTGTTTTTTTTTTTCTATTAAATTTTTAATAGACCTTTAACTCAAGAACAATTTTTTTAAAGATTATTTTACTCTAGAGCTCTTTTTTTAAAGATCTCTATCCTGGAATACTTAACAACTCTTTAACTCTAGAGTAATTGTTATCTTCACCAAGGAGCTATTTTTTAAAGTTCCCTTTATCTCGAACAAATTTTTTAAAGGTTCTTTTACTTTAGATCTAATTTTTTAAAGATTCTTAACTCTCGAGCTATTTTTTAAATATCCTTTTATTCTAGAGCTCTTTTCTTTTAATCTCTATTCTGGAATATATTTTAATAATCCTCCAACTATAGAGTAATAATTTTTATCTTCACTAAGGAACTATTTTTAAAGTTTCCTTTATCTCAAACAAATTTTTTAAAGGTACTTCTATTTTTAACATTTTTTTTAATTTTAGATACAGGGTTTGTAATTTACGTAAAAGTTATGTAAACTACATACAAATTAAATAAAATGGTTTAAAATACCCACAAGATTGTAACAGTTATGTAAAATATGTAAAGTTATGTAAAATATGTAAACTATGTAAATGTTATGTAAAATGTATGTAAAACATAAAATTTATGTAAAATATGTAAAATGATGTAAAAATATATAAATAAGTTATTCTCACTGTGGATTGAAGGCCACATACGAATATTAAATAAGGAACATTTTGCAGAAGCAACTAAAATTTTGCCTTTTTTATAATATTGCTATGAATACGTAAGACATTACAAAAAAATGGCATTTGTTGTTCTCTATACATCGACGTTATGTAAAAATTATGTAAAACTTATGTAAAAATTAGGTAAAAGTTAAGTAAAGTTATATAAAAGTAATTTAAAATTTACGTAAGATACACTATTAGTTATGAAAAAATGCCTTATAAAATACACTAAATTTTAGACGAAACTCATACCTTTGACGAATTCCATGGCAGTGATTTGCGTTTCTACCAACGAGAATGAAACCAAATCTTTTAACACTCCAGCTTGCTGGTGGTGCTGCGCCAGTACGGATATGTGACTACTGGCGCCGTCAGTCGTGCAAATCCACAAGTAATTTTGGACCCGGTTCCTTCTTTTCGCTGTTTTCGGTAAAGTTACAGTGTAGTAACAACCACAGCGTACCTAAAAATGGTTGAAATAAATTCCATTAATTCTTTAGGAAAAAAAAATGAAAGAATTTAGTGAAACAGAGTATTGGTGAATTATCAGAGAAATATACGATAACAAAACTTAAACACAAAACAAAATCGTATGAAGAACTGCTAGAAAAATGTGATGAAATGGTAAATAAGAATATATTAAAGAAATTCCATTAATTCTTTAGAAAAAGTGAAAAATTTACTGGAACAGAATACTTTCATTTACCAGGTGAATTAATAAAGAAATTTGTGATAATGCTACAAAATTCGTATGAAGAACTGTACAGTGTGTAAAAAACTATTAAATAAATTTTAAAGAAATGTCTAGGAAATATTGAAAAAAAAGTTAAAGAAATGATAATAAAATGTTAAAGAAATGTTAAAGGAATGTTAAAAGAAATTTCATTAATTCTTTAAGAAACAAAGAAAAAATTTACTGGTACAGAATAATTGCATATATCAGGTGACTTAACAGAGGGATTTGAAATAAAGCAACGAAATTTGTATGAAAATAATAAGAAATGTTAAGAAAATATTAAAGAAATGTTAAGGAAATATTAAAGAAATTAAACGTTAAAGGAATGCTTATTAAAGAAATGTAAAAGAAACGTTAAAGAATATTAAAAAATGTTAAATGAATATTAAAAAATATCAGAAATTGATAAAAAACAAGGCAAATAACTATGAAAGAAAGGTGAGGAACTGTGTAAAACGCTTAAAAAACTAGATATATAAAACTGTAAAATGTATAAGGAATTAAAAGAATCTTAATATGTAAAGAATTCAAGGCTACTTACTTCGGTTTGATGCTGTGACATATAAACAGGCTGCGACTTTACGAATAGCGGCATCTTAGTCGACGGTCTCTGCTCCTGCTCGGGTACTTCCCAAGCGGGCGAGTTATTAGGATCCAGCGCCAACTGCGCCAATCTCAGTTCCGTGATCCATTCCTTCTTGATATTCGGATTGTCCGTCTGGAAGGTGTAAATCTCCTCTTTGCCTTTGGTGCGAACGACCAGCTGCAAACAACAGGAGTCCATCCAAGCCATTTCTTCGTCCTTTTGCTGAATGGAGGTTTGGATTTGCTGCAAGATTTTGCGGGTGTTGTCGAGATTCACGTCCTTGTAGGCGCCTTTGAGTTGGCCTTGAAGAAGAAATATTTCAGTTATAAAGTTATAAATAGTTGAAAGATTTGAACCAACCTGCCAAATCGTTGATCCTACTCATGACCTCGTAATCGTGCATCAAATTGCTCATCTCCGCGCCTAAATTGTTCGCGTTCTGCGGCGGAGTCCCGTCAAAGGATCCGTTGGATTTGACGCTGCCGCTCTTGGGATGCTGCGACGTCAACAAGCGACTTAGAGTCGGCGAGGCGCTGGTATCCTGGATTTCGATGTCCGAAACCGGATAAGTCCATTTGAGGCTCAGTCTTTCGTTGCTGCTGAAGTCGTCGGCCGACTTCGAACCCACCGCCACGCAGACGACTAGATCGTTGAGCAGGAGCAGTCTGCGGCTTTTGGCTTTGGTTATCATTCCGTTTTGGCTGTAGTCCTATAGAAGATGGGTGAATAAATTAAAACTCTAATTGTGTTTGTTAAGGATTTGGTTGGCGAGTTCAAGATAATAAAAAAAGTATTGAAATATATGATTTTATTGTATGGTGTTGCCTTTACAATATCTAAATCTTAACTGATATATTACAGATAAACCACCACCCATTTCCTAGCTCGTAAAACCTTTTTTGTTCAAGACAGATCAAGAAACCGACATGGTGGTCAGTCAAGTTGCACATTTGAAAATAAACACACGTTTTTAAAAATAAAAGCAATTCGAAGTTTCCCCATTCTTACCAGCTGCGTAACGTTATCCTCCCTCAACAGGTACCTGTTGCTGTCGGACAACGGCCTCACGGAAAACTTCCCGCTTATATTCCTCAACATCTCTTTGAACGCCTGATATTGCTCCGCTTCCCTCTTTCTTTCGTTAAGCATCTCGGCTAGCGATTCCAATTGGGTCAGAGCCAATTGGAGGGACATCCTGTCGTGATGGCCGTGCGGTGTGTATTTCAACAAATCCTAGACAAATACAAAAAAAAATAATTTCGAATAGGTACAAAATTTTAATAATTACCTGTAAAAATAAAATAAATTGCGGAAATCTCTGCACCGGTTTCACCATTAGACCGAAGAATGATAATCGATCATGTGAACTGATCTGTTTCACCTGCAAATTATTGATTTAATACATCCACTATTATCTCTTTTCCTAAATAAAATTACCTTCAAAAAATCGGCTAGCGCCGATTTTCTCTTGGCCTCCATCTTCGCTAGATCCATGGCGACGGAAAAATTGTTAATAAACCCGCTATAGATGTCCAAAACGATGGCTTTGGAAAAGGAGGCGACGAACACGTCCCCGATTTTCTCGTCTCGATCCCAATTCCGAACGCACTCGGCCAGAGCGATCCGGAACAGGGTATGGCACTGTAAGATTTCGGGCAGCCTATGGAACAACGTCTGGATCTTCGACCCGCTCAATACCGGCGGGTTGCTCTCCTCCAGAGGTTTCTTGTAGTCCTGCAAATAATTATCCATTAAAAAATCTATCCGCAAAACAAATCAAGGTCACTCAGTAATACATGGTGCTTTTTGAACAATCCGAACATTTTTTTTAAATCCCTTAGCTCCCGACAATTTTTTATTTTAAATCCTTTCATTCTTGAGCATATTTTAGGTTTTCATAATTCTTAAAGATCCTTTTACTCTAGAGTTATTTCTTTAAAGATCTCTTACTCTAGAGCATAACTTAAAAATTCTTTCCCTTTAGCAATTTTTATTTTCACTCTAGAGCTATTTTTGAAAGCTCTTTTACTCTCAAGCACATTTTTTAAAGGTCTCTTTACTTTCCAATCAATTTTTTAAAGATTCTCAACTCACGAACTAATTTTAAAGATCCCTTTACTTTAGAGCAAAGATATCTTAACTCTCGGGCTAGTAACTAAATATCCCTTTAGTTTCTAATAAATGTTTTAAAAATCTCTTAACTCCTGAACAACTTTTTAAAGACATCTTAACTTTCGAGCTATTTTCTAAAAATCCCGTTACTCACGAGTAATGTATTTAAAGATATTTTAACTGTCAAACACATCTTAACGATTATTTAACTATCGAACAATTTTTTAAAGATCTTTTAACTATCTAACAATTTTTTTAAACTTTCTAATTTTCGAACATCTTTTTAAAAACAAAACTGGTCGTCATACTCACATTTACTAGCCTTTGTAAAGTTGCTATATAAGAATTTTCACTATGTACAATCGCGGACACGATCATCCTCCTCTTTAACTGTAAGGGGGTTAAATTAGGAGGGGGCTGGGGTAAACTGGGGGGTAGCTGCCGTCTTTGGGAGGAATTGCAACTGGAGAAATGGAATCCCGTTTCTTCTTCCACCTAAATTTTTATAAATTTATACATAAAAAATATATAGAAATAAAAATATAGTTAAAAAATCAATTAAAAATAATATGAATAAAATAAATTTGGATAAATATTTTTGATAAAACGTAAAATTATGATAAAAAAAAAAAAATAAAAACAGATAAAGTAAAAAATTAATTAGATAAAAAATCATTCGTTTAACTGACCTCAAAACAACGCATGGAATTCTGTAATATTAAAAAAAGAAATTGTAGTTTTTATATTTAATATAGATACTATTTTATCAAAAATACACATTAATAAATATGTCAAAAATTACATTTAATTGAGATGATTTAAATGTAGTTTAGCTCTACAGCAATTTTAAAGATGGTATTTATAAACTTTAAAAAACATTGGTTTCATAAAAATAATTTTTGCTTACCTCGGGCAGTTGGGGCATTTTGTTCTGACTGGTCGGGGTTCTTTGGGCGTCTGCATTTTCTATGTCGTATTGGTGGTTGCTGCCTCTCCGTATGGAAAACCATCTCGACAGTCTGCCGTGGTTTTGGGGGGAAGTGTCCACCGGTAAGGAGCTGTCCAGCGACAGTCTATTATTCGAACCGATGCCCCCACTTCCCCTCCACTTGTCGCACAACGTTCGTGCCTTATTCAGCGTGTTACGTAATTGACCATTACTTCTGCAAACATCCAAAATATAAAGATTAAGTAAAACATTCTCTATTTATCTGTAAAAGGACATAATAGGATTGATGCCTTTTCAAGATCATACATACATCGAATTTGGATAGAAAATGGATGATTGCTGTACTCTTAAGAATGCTAGAAGCGACCACTGACTGTCGGTCAGGGTATGAACTTTTTGATCGATAGGATCGTAACAGCTGTTAAACAAATCTGATTTCATTCTCACCAATAGTTCTTCATTGTATTGCAAGGTTAATATAAATTTAAAGCAATGTCAGTATAACCGGTATACAAATATTGAACACTCTTTAAATTCAAGCGTAGTAAAATGTAGGCTTACAGTGTTACTACTAGGAGTAAAATAAAAAATATATACCATTCCCAAGTATACTAAATTCTTTTATAACAGATACTTTTTAAAATAAAGATGAAAAGAGTAAAAAACACATAATTAACTGTGGGACACGCCCTATTAATTTTTTTTTTAAAGAGAATCAACCTCTCGAGCAATTTTTAACGACCTCTTAACACTCGAGTAATTTTAAATAATAAATAACAACTCTGGAGCACTAAATATCGACCAGAGTTTAACAATACATCAATTTTTGGCGAACACGGATATCTCCGCCTATGGTGTAAAGCTCTTGGAGACCCACATGGGCGCATTTTGAGGCCTGCATGTTTCGACTGGATTTTAATTAATGTAAATTGATTTAATTGGTCGGTGAATGCAGTTTGATTTATTGACTGGTCGGGTTTAAGTATTTCGACTGCCGTAATCTATAATAATTGAGATGTGCCGTAAAAGCGTTGGGAAATATTTATTCAATTTATGGACGATAAATCGACTAATTGGTGCCCGTTCGAAGTGAACGCTTATAAGCACTCGTAAATGTGGGTTGCAGCCAATGCGGTACTTTCTAAATATTTTGTCAGTTTAAACTATTTTCCTAGTAAAGAAAATGATTTGTTTTAAACTGACGAATTGTTAATTTTCGAGTAATTTAACCGAGAACTCTCGAAGCTTTTCTAATGGTAGTTTAACTCTCGAGCATTTTTTTACAATGTAGTTCATGTCGACCTTTTTTAATTGACTCTTTAACTCAATTTTCAACTATCCCTTAACTCTCGAGTATTTTTAAACGATAACTTTAGAGTAATTTGTACATTTCCCGATCTATAACATTTAAAAAATGGTTTATTTTAAATTGGCTGACTGTTAACGATAATAGTCACTCTCGATCATTTTTTTACGATATAATTCAACTTTGAAGCTCTTTTAATGACTTTAACTCTCGAATAGTTTTTAATGATACTTTAACTCTAGAGTTGTGGAAATTTCCCGAACTAATCTCGTATACCATTTGTTACACTTAACATGTTAAAAATGATTTGTTTTAAAGTGACGACTTGTTAATGATGACATCGAGTAATTTAACCGAGAACTGGAATCTCAACTCTCGAGCTTTTTCTAATGGTAGTTTAACTATCAAGCAATTTTTTTCACGATGTAATTCACTCCTCAAATAATTTTTAATTTTAATGGCTCTTTGTCTCAATTTTCAACTGACACTTAACTCTCGAGTATTTTTTAACGATACTTTAATCCTCGAGTCATTTTTAGGAATTTCAGTTTTATCGTATAAATTAAAAAGATGGTAAAATACAAGTACAATTTGGAAATTTCCCGACTTATCCTCGTATACAATATTTATTAAATTTCACCTTTTAAAAATGGTTTATTTTAAACTGACCAATTGTTAATGATGATACACTCTCGAGTATTTTAAAAAAGACCCGGTACCTCAACTCTTGAGTTTTTTTTACAATGTAGTTCAACTCTCGAGTAATTTTTAATGACTCTCGTAACTTAATTTTCAACTATTCTTTAACTATCGAGTAATTTTTTAACGATACTTTAAAACTCTGAAATAATTTAGAACCCGACTAACTTCGTACTCATACCATTTTTTTTTAAATTTCACATTTTAAAAATAGTTTGTTTTAACTGGCGATTCGTTAAGTTATTTAACCGAGACCATGTACCTCAACTCTCGAGCGTTTTCTAAAGGTAGTTTAACTCTCGAGCATTTTTTTAGAATGTAGTTTAACTCTAGAGCATTTCTAATGACTTTTATTCAATTTTCAACTATCCCTTTTTTTCTAATGGTAGTTTAACTTTCAAACTTTTTCTAACGGTAATTTAACTCTCGAAAATTTTTTTACAATATAGTTCAACTCTCGAGTAATTTTTAATGGCTCTTTAACTCAATTTTCAACTTTTTCTTAACTATCGAGTATTTTGTAATGATTCTTTAACCCTCGAGTCATTTTTAGGAGTTTATTTTATCGTATAAATTAAAAAGATAGTAAAATACAAAGAGAGAGAGGGAGGGACAAAGTGAGAGCAGTTAGGCAGTGTTGAGAAATATCTGGCAGAATTTCATAATTGGAATTGTTTGCATTACGGTAAAATTGCTTTGATAATAATCTCCAAAGTGTAAATTCACTTCAAATATTTGTTTTTAAAACCCATTTATCAAGAATTTGAAGCGTAATTGTGAAGTTGAAGTTCAAAATTTCGGCTTTTATTGTTCGCGTGACCCTACACAACATGATAATTCATGTATTAATAATTAAAATGATCTTTTTTACGTTTTATAAGGCATATTGAAATTGTTATAAATAATAATATATTTTTAACCACGTTCACTACGTTTATTTTATTGTTACTTTTATGTACAGATTTATAAATATGTGCTTCAAGTTAAAAAATGTGATGTTTTTATTCAAAAAATTACCTGATGAAGACTCAAATCAACAAAACGAAACGTTGTTGATTACTATAACGTATTTTATTTACTTACTGACCTATATCAGTAGTACATTTTTCGTGTATGGCCACCTTATTTTGAAAAAATTTCGATGCCGCTAATTTGGGTAGACCAGAATCGCGTTTGGGCTGAAATAATTAAAATTAGGAATTATCTAGTAAGTACCTACTTAAGATTTTGTAAATATATTTACAAATGGAAATGGAGTTAATTTTTGACAAAGTCGGCTTTAGGTTCAAGTCAGTATCTGGGCGGTGACCAAGTCGGCCCATGAATCAGGTAAAATAACACATATTTTAGGATATTCCTAATTCTATTCCCCTGTCTTTGAAATAATTACAAATTATTTGGATAGATGGTTTAAAATTGGCGAAGATTTAAAATTTTCATTATCAAAAAATATAAATTTAGAATTTGCCACCTTGTCTTTTAAACAATGGCAAAGATTTTGAGTTCTAGTCTTCGAAATAGTGTTTATACATCGTTTTTGTACATTTCCTATAAATTTGTAAACGTGTAAATTATTGATCTTAAAATGATAAACGAATAAAGCCACTTCGACGTCCAAAAACCAGTTAACATATCAAAATGATCAGTTCTTAATATTCAAGACCGACAAATATAATAAATTACGCCTCCAAAAATCAACTCATTAAGATTAATAACATCTGGTTCATTGCATTCGTTAGATCATAGAGAATTTTTGTTGCTTGTTACTCGGCCGTTTTCTAGATAAGAAAAGTTAAAGCATATCGCGATGTAATTATAGTCAAAAAGTCCTGGAACAAGTCCAAATTAGAAAGAGAGCACTCTCGTTCATAGACGTACTCATTACAAATATTTTGTTCATGATTACTTGCTAAATGTAAAAAGAAGATTCAAGTTTATATTACTCTTTAAAATATAAACAGGAATTTAAAAAAATAACGATATATTTTCATTTAAATAACTCTCGAATAATTTTTAATGATCCCTCAACTCTCGAGCAAATTTTGAAGATATCACCACTCGAGTAATTTTTAAAGATACATCTCTTGAGTAATTTTTAAAGATATGTAAAAGGGAATTTAAAAAATACGATTTTTTTCATTTAAACAACTCTCCAGTAATTTTTAATAATCCCTCAACTCTCGAACAAATTATAAAGATACCACCACTCGAGTAATTTTTAAAGATACATCTCTCGAGTAATTTTTAATCATATGTAAAAGAAAATTTAAAAAATACGATATTTTTTTCATTTAAACAACTCTCGAGTAATTTTTAATAATCCCTCAACTCTCGAGCAAATTTTAAAAATACCACCACTCGAGTAATTTTTAAAGATACATCTCTTGAATAATTTTTAATATCTAAAAGGGAATTTGAAAAAATACGATATTTTTTCATTTAAACAACTCTCGAGTAATTTTTAATACTCTCTTGACTCTCGAGCAAATTTTAAAGATCACCACTTGAGTAATTTTTAAAGATACATCTCTTGAGAAATTTTTAATGATATGTAAAAGAGAATTTAAAAAATACGATATTTTTTTTTCATTTAAACAACTCTCGGGTAATTTTTAATAATCCCTCAACTCTCGAGCAAATTTTAAATATACCACCACCACTCGAGTAATTTTTAAAGATACATCTCTTAAGTAATTTTTAATATGTAAAAGGGAATTTAGCAAACTCTCGAGCAAATTTTAAAGATACACCTCTAAAGTAATTTTTAAGGAATCCTCATCTCCAAAATGTTTTAATGATTTTTAACTCGAGCAATTTATAAAGATTACCACTTCCTTTTTAAAGAGTACACTTCTTTCGAACAATTTTAATAACCCCTAAATTTTATAGACTCTTGAGCTATTTAATAATGTTTAATCGGTTACTGGAACAAACTCCCTGATCAAAAAATCCAATCACATACACACACACACACACGATAATATTTAAAGATACACATTCTTGAGCAATTTTTAAAGACTCTTGAGCAATTCAAATTTTAAAAATACATCTGTCGAGCAATTTTTAATGATATGGAATCTCGAAATTTTTTTAATAATTTTAGTAATTTTTAAACAGAGTGAGGCTCTCGAGGAATTTATTTGTATTATATTTGATAGACACTGACCTGTTACTGGAGGCCGCGCTACGATCGCTCTCCTCGTCCGAAGACAGTTCTGGTTCGGATCCCGAACACCAGCTATCCTCAGAACTCCTCTGAGAACCGGTGTGCTGTAAGGTTCGATTGTGGGCCAACGGGGGCGCCACTCTGTGTTCACATGTCGGTTCTTCCCATGTGCCTGATCGAATTCGGGGTTCATCTAAAACAACGAAAAAATTGTTTATTAAAAATATTCATAAATACAATAAAAGAAATCAAAAAAGTTAAGTAGAAAAATCTATTTTTAATAATTTAACAAGATAATTTGATGTCATTGTAAACAGATCAAAATTTAATACTAAAGGTTAGCATATTAAAAATTCTATTTGCGATTAGTTGACCTCATTTGAGTTCGATTTTCAGGACAAAATGGCTGACATACTTCGTCGGTCAAATAATTGAACGTTGTTCAACATCTTTTTGTTTCTATCTACTCTCTTTAACATGTACTTATCAGTACATCAATGCAGTCTTTGAAAACTTTTTATTTTTTTTAAATAACGTTTAAAAAAATACGAGTAAATCACAACTCTCGAGTAATTTTTAATAAAACCTTATCTCTCGAGTAATTTTTAAAGATTGCCAAACTCTCGAGTAAATTTTATCTCTCCGAGCAATTTTTTCAAAAGATAAATTTTAAGTGATAATTTTTCTTCGTCTTTTTGATTTATTTTCGTCAATAATTTGAAAGTGTACAATAATCAAACTTTGCCTCGATGATGGCAGTCCACTTGTCGACTACTTAAATATCAATTAATTAACTCTTTTATTGGATTATAGAAGAAACTATTTGTTTTGATTGAATCTTATGATGATTATTAATTTAAAACTTTTTTTTTTATTAAAATATATTTGAAAAAGATCTGTTCAATAGAGGACCTTGGCGATATATTTTTAGCTTAGTCAGAATGAAGGCAATTATCCAATTAAAGTTAATTTTTCCTACTAAAGCGAGTAATAGCCTTATTAACTGCAATTAAACTTTATTATTAATAAGTGTATTTACGTTATTTTTTTTTTAGTTGTCACTAGAAAAATTTACCATTAGGTTTGATCGCAAAAAACGATACCAATGTAGATATGAAAAAACTTATATATTCTCTAACAAAAACTTACTTTTTTGTATTAAATAATACCCCAGGTCTTTTGAATCTAGTAAAGAGTTATAAAGGCGCGCTATTATCAAGATTTAAAGAAATATTACTATTAATAGAAATAGGGAATAAAATAGAAGTCGTAGGATGACAACTGGAGGATCACCTGATGCTGCAATATACTGTTTTGATTGGAAATCTTCATATTCCACTTATGTATTATATTTTATAGGTAATATTTTGGTAAAAATAGTTATGAATATTTATTTTTTATAAAATGATATTCTTTTCATTTTTTTGGGGTATCGATTTACTACCACTTATATTTTCGTAGCCCCAAGGTTAAGGTTTATTGCTCAACCATCTGCTTGATGAGGTATCCTCAACTAAATCAGTAGATTTAGAGTTTTGATCCAGGACAAGACAGGCTTTATCTACCAATAAGGTGTGTTACTATTGTTATTGTTTACTTCTAGCAAATATATTTTATCGGGCACGGTGGTGTAGCGGTCTATCGCGCTTATATTCATTTATAGGCAAGTTTATGAGTCTGAGACTGCTGGGTTTCGAATCCCAGACCAGACCATGTGGATTTTTAATTAAATTGCATGGTTCGGTTTAGGATTTGATGTGTGGCGTATTAATAGAAATTCAATTTCTGTTGATATGACATGCAGATTAAAAAAAAATTCGCCATACATTACCGTCTCGATGATGGTGGGTGAGGTTTTCCGGGTTTTCCTCACCTGTAAGTCAAATGGCACCATCAATCATCTTTAAGTCGCCCCGGAGGGCCACGGCAAATAATAATAATAGCCGTCCCTTTCCCCGGACAAGCTCAGCTTTTGGGGTTAAAATTCACTCGTAAGGGGGTGAATTAGGGAGAGTATTATTATAGTATTATTATTTCAGCCAACACCCGTACAAATAACAATGATGAACGTGTTATTCAACTCATCGTGTAATATTTTTGTGATTTCTCAGCATGAAACGGATTACGAATGCAACATTCAAATTCGTTGACACAATTTCCCTTCCTTTTCCTTAATACCATCATAAACACAAAACATAACCAATAACCATTGTGCCGTGGTGCCCGTGGTATGTCTGTGTCTCACGTTTTCTCTTTCGTTTCTGTCCGTTTCATAGGAAGAGACAATAACCAACAACTGTAAAAATAAATGACCGAAAGTTTTGACCAGTGGTGGAGATTACTAAATTTTATTTGCAAGAAAATATTTGAAATACATTTTCTATCAACAAAATTTCACTGAAATGCAGAAACGATTGTTTGTTGTATTGCTTAGAGGTGAAATAAATCATTGCTTGAATGCTAGAAAGATTGTATAGGAGTTTTACATGTGTTGGCCTCGTCCTAGCGACCTCTGCAGATCTGTTGCGGAAATAATAGAGAAACTAAAATGAAAACCCAATCTTCAATTGATTAATTCTATATTTATAAGTTATTTGTCCCTATATCATAATTTCTATGAAATCTATTACGTAGACTGCAAATCGTGGATCTAAAAGTAATAAAAGTGTTAATTATAATACGCTGGCAACACTGTTAACCAATCATTCTTTTCATTTTTACCATATTCTACCTATGTTCAAAATACATTATTACTATTGCACATCCAAACTAACTTACTTTTGAAGCAATCAAGCTTGTATGGCGCTTTTCAGGAAAATACCCCTTATGGTTTGCCACTGAATCAAAGCAAAGCACACAATGAATCATGGTTCACGAAGTTCTAATTCTTCGGTACAGTACATTCACTCCTGAAGAATGCTGAGCACGTCGGTCTTTTACACTACCACAATAATACACCGGTAGGTAAATAAAATGGTCGGATGGTCGTTGTTTGGTACCGGTATACACGTTCGAGTACCTACTGCGCTGCCAACATATTTAAGTACCCGCATGTATGAGTATGCATTCGGTTCAAATTCTAATTGATTTTCGAAGAAACGATAAATCAAATAAAACGGCGCATTCTTTAACAAAATTTATGCAATCGTATTTGCTTGATATTTTTAGCTAATTTCAACCATAATTGTGACCCAAGCATTTGACAAGGTTTGGTACACTGGAAACTTCGAAAATGCTCCATAGACAATATATGTCGACGTTCTTCAATCAAATTTGAAGGGAAGAATGTTTAGAGTTAAGTAAGAGGATGCATACTCCAAAATTAAAGTTATCTCCCAACAACAATGTGCTAAAATAGTTATATTAGTAACATTTACGGATGACAGTGCAATATTAGCAGTTGACCTAATACAGAGACCTCAGAAAACCTTCAGGAAACTTGCAATAGAATCAATCAAAGCGCACAAAAGTGGGAAATTAAAATAAATCAAACTAAAACTAAATCAGTACATGTTGATTTTACTTTTCGACAATATGAACAAAAACAAGTAAGAATAAACAATTATGTTATTCCGCATCAGAATTAGCCCAAATACCTTGGGATGAATCTAGTTGTATAACTTAAATAGAAAGTGCACATAAAAAAGTGTAAATAAATCAATTTTAAATTAAAAAAAAAAAACAAAATTTAACTCACGAGCAATTTATTTAGACCATCGTAACTCTCGAGTAATTTTAAGAGTATCATAACTTTCGAGCAAAATTTAAGGACTTTTCAACTTTAGAGTAAATTTTTAAAACCATCGTAACACTCAATCAATTTTGAGAGAATCGTAACTCACGAACAAATTACGAGATTTATCAATTTTTGAGTAATTGTTTAACACTATCGAAACTCTCGAACAATTTTGAGAGTATCGTAACTTTTGAGCAAAATTTAAAGATTTTTCAACTTCAGAGAAATTTTTTTACACCGTCGTAACTCGAACAATTTTGAGAGAATCGTAACTCACGAGATATATCAACTTTCGAGTAACACTATGATAACCCTCGAGCAATTTTTTTAAGACTATCGTAACTTTCGAGCAAAAATTTAAGAATTTTTCAACTTTAGAGCAATTTTGAGAGAATCTTAACTCACGAGCAAAAATACGAGATTATCAATTTTCCAGTCATTTTTTAACACTATCGTAACTCTTGAGCAATTTTGAGGGTATTGTAACTATCAAAATTACAAAATTTGTCAACTCGCGAGCAATTTTTTTAAACTATCGTAACTCTCGATCAATTTTGAGAGTATCGTAACTCACAAGCAAAAATACGAGATTTATCAATTTTCGAGTAATTTTTTAACACTATCGTAACTCTCGATCAAAATTAGAAAATTTGTCAACTCGCGAGCAATTTTTTTAGACCATCGTAACTCTCGAGGAATTTTGAGAGTAACATAACTCTCGAGCAAAATTTCAGGATTTGTCAACTCTTGAACAATTTTTGAGTAAATTGTAAGACTTCTTTATTTAATATAGGTACAAAATCAAATCTCCCCATATAAAATTGATTCAGCAAAATGGAATACATAAACAATGAGAAAAAATCTCAAATCAGCGTCGACGGAAAATAAACACTGACTGACACATTTCTTTCTGTGGAAACTGAAAACAACAACAGATAATTGCGCGTGGGAAGGATAAGACTCGGCATCTTTGTTCTGCTTAATGAAAATCGATGCTTTTCTTGTGTTCCAAGAAACGGTACGACCTTCAAAGAGAATGATAAAAAAAAAAGAAAACCCAAAGGATGTCTTTGAACAATCGCTACCTATCGCGAAAATCGCCTTTGCCAATTTTACCTGTCTGATTCGCATAAATCTCGTTTCGTTTCCCAGAAGCGTAAAATTTCCCTTCCAAGTAAACGAGGATTTTATACGTCTGAATATATTACGCACATACAGGTACATTTTATTACCATATATAGATACAGACCATAAATATATTATACAGGAATGGCAGAAAAATCGAAAGGTTTTAAAAGTTAAGGAATCTGTAAAAATTTGTATGTCTTGAAATTTGGTAAAATTACTTGAAAATTAATAATCTATATTTAAAAAAAAATTACAACTTTTTGGAACTGGCATTACTTTTTCCAGTTCCAAAAAATTACAACTTTTTGGAACTGGCATTACTTTTTCCC